GATTTAACACAACGAACAAGGGAATTTAACTTATTCACTTGAACCTTATTCGAATTAAATTGAGTATTATACAAGATAAATTTGTTTCATAATTTAGGACATACTTCTTAATTCATTTTTTGCAATTCCAACAAACGATAAGTCATATTCTTGTTTCAAAGAAATTAACGAGCTCATTTCAATTAATAATGTCCAATTTAGATTAAAAGATATATTCGATAGTTCCCTCCCGGTTCAGGATCAGTTTGAAGATCTAATTATTAATTTCTTATTAAAATTTTAAATATAAACTAATTACTAATTTCTTAAAATTTCTTGTTTGTTATAACTAAATAGTGTTATATTATTAATTTAAAATTATAAATAAATATAGCCACGCAAGTGGGAAGGGCCGCTGGGCGAATGGGCACGCGCGTCCTTGGAAGTACTACGCCCTGATAGACCCGCGTACAGTGGAAGTATTAAACTTTCGTGTTTCCTCTGTTTAGTAAGGTAACCGGGGCACACTTTTTAAACATTTTGCATCTGCGAGCTATCGTTTGTTGTGGAAGTTCATGGGCGACGGCATTCACTTAACATAAGGTGGAGCGCCTGTTCGGTTGACAATTTTTCACTTAAAAATATAACCACAACAAACAACGGTCCTCGTATTAAGATATGGAATAAATGTTTTACGAATTTGTAAAAAAAGTATTAGATTTTAATACCCTACGTCAAAATACTATTTAATTAAAATGAATTAAGTTGAATATGACGCTAAATAGACAATTCAAGTAGACCTTTTTCATTTAACCTTTCTATTTCTTTTTTTATTTTTTAATGTTCGGATAACCTTTTCACAAAATAAAACAAATTATTAATACAGAGCGGTAATGTTAAAATAAATGTAACATAAAATGAAATGAATGTTTCTAATTTATTTTCTAGTTTACGCCTTTTGTGAGCGTTCTACTTTCTTGGTGTATAAGCGAATGCTAGTTGACCATTTTCCAGTATGTCAATGGAATGACGTATTTTCTGTCCCTTACTGTGCTAATTATTACGTATGTCTAGGAAAACATGAACTTAATAAATTATTTAAATTTTGTTTATCGCCCTATCATAATCATCATTTTAGTCTATATATCCCGCATATTTGCACAGGTCGTCACTTTATCTAGTGGAGGGCAATCACGCAGAGTAATACCGAGCATAGCCTGCCCCATAGCTTGCTGAGCGATTTTGAACTTCCTCATACGACCAGCAGTTTAGTATCACGTCTCAGTTCTGTAGGTCTACGTTTGTCTCTCTTCTGAGGCTCATAGCCGCTATTGTCAAATTTTTCTGCTTTGTTTAAAGTATTTGTTCATATGAATCATGAACTGAAAAATTGATAAATTCTATGAATATAATTCTCGAACAAAGAACCTTATTAATTAAACAATTTAAAAAAATTAATTAAATAAATTTATAATAAGTATGCTTTTTACTAAATTACAAAACTATTTCTTGAGAGTGGTCTCCCATTTAATTAAATACTGCTTGGAATGCTTCAAGGAAATTCCTTAACATGGCTTCCGGCTATGAGTAAATTGTTTGTTACTTTTCTCTTTGATGTTCGAGCTATGAGGAATATTAAATTATCCCTTGTAGCTTATACGTGGAGACTGAAATATGAATTACAGTGTTTGCGGTCCAGTATGAACAAGCATTGTGGTGCCACACAAGTTAGTACAGATTTATTTTTACTAGTCATAAAGATATTCCTACCCAATGGAACAGATGTCTACTGTCCGACTTGAGATAATTTTCCATCGGTTCCTTCCTAGAAAATTATAGAAATTGATATGAGTTGTTAAGCTGTATTGTTTTGAAATTCCACTTTGCGTTTATATATAAAAAAAAACTGTTAATTTATTCATGACTCTATTAAAGGGCTGTTTAACAGTTTCAATGATCTAGTTTAATAAATGCGCTTATACGAAATTTTCTTTTATTTACCAGAAACGCGTCACTATACTTAACCTGGATCGACAAACATACTACATCTAAGATGCACGCAGAAAAAAGGCGAAGGCAAATAACTGTACCGATTCAATAATCTCACTTGATATCGATTCCCTTTGCAGACATCGCCCCTTCTCTTTCCCTCTGGCTTGTGTGTGACACAAGCTCTTGAGAATCCAATAAATTAAACGTATTTATGCGCTGCCTCTCCGTATCCGTTTACCATCAAACTCTAGGATCGGCCTTTGTGAACCCAACATTGGTTTGATTGCTTTGCCCCTTTGGCTTAATACACGTCTGCATCAGGCTGCGCCTCTCTTTGTTCAGTGGCTGTCATTCGACTGCACAAGAGATCGTGGAATTGTCTTAGTTAAGAATTTCCTTCATCGTTTTAGTCTCTTATTTATTTCTCACGTATTGTATAACAATAGGTCGGACGAACGCGTTATATTGCAATGGGGCTATATTAAATAATTATTAAACAAATAATTATTTAATATTACTAAGTTGATATTGAATAAATTATATGTTTGCAAATAAGTTAAGAATTAAAATTGAATGCAGTCAATTAGAAATGAAGCATAAATAAATGGTCACACATAATAAAGAGGGTTACAGCTAGAACAAAAAACCGATATGATGATTTACAAACTCAGTAGGATGTTGCTAATATTAACGTGAAGATTTGTTTGTTTAGACAGAATAGCTTAAATTTAAATATAAAGAGAAGAAACTGGGAACGCTATCAGAACGCTTTCGCCTCGTTTGAGATAAGAAGTTTTGATAATATAAGGCTGCAGGGAGTTGGTAATATATTATGTTACTTTGATAGAAATTAAAGCGTTTTTTTCATTTGGGGAAAAAACACGATATGAAAAACATAATAACTGAAACTATTAAAAGCTGTTGTTTAAACATGTAATGCTGCTAGTTCTATTTAGAAAAAGATAAAATTATTGTACTTTTTATCACTTAACTTAGTTTTTTTATGCTTTAGTTTAGCAGGTAAGAATTATTTTTATTTCATTATCATACATAGGTATTACAACAAAGTATATTATTACACAACTTGCAACTTGTCTTATTTATGAAAACATTACTTTCCGCGCTTTTTATTTTAACCATTGAGTCACAGATAATGAACATATGCGTAACACAATTTGACTCAAAAAACGGAACCCTCATAAAAATTTTCTGTTATATTTTGCTACCAGGTAACTTAGAAATTCTACTTAAATTGTTTTTCGCGTTGGTTATATGCTTCAGGAATTTTCATTACTGATCCCTATAGTAAAGTCCACATAGTATGGATCCGAGATATTTTAATGAAGTTTGAAACGTTATTTTCATATTTTCCCTGACTTTAATAAGCGTATGCATATTGGAGAACGTTAAGTGGCTGGGCCACTTTGTCGAAGTAACAAAAACAGCAGAGATAATACAAAAATCGTGAAATTGTAAGACTGAAATTAAGGATTATTGCTGATGTAATAATAGGCTAGTTCCTCAGCATCACAGGAGAGCGACAAAAAGCTGAAATTTCATTTCAGGGACATTATTTGTAAAAAAATTTAAACCTTACTTTGTAATATAATGTGGTGCGTGAAACAATTGAGGTTAGAAAATAGTTCCAATTGTTACTTATTCATTTGGGCACAGTAAATAGGTAGTAAAGAATTAAGTAAAGCGATTATGTTAACTGTGGCAGGGCCATGCAATAGCCTTCACTGCACTGGCACGAATGGACAGGTCCGTCCGGAGCTTAGACCTTACAGAAGACCGGCTTTAAGTGGTAGTCTTATACTTCTGCGTTTCATCTGGTAGCCGGAGCCTACTTTATTATAAGGTAGGCAACCCATTTGCAACCCTACGGGTGTTGCAAATGTCCATGGGCGGCGGTTATCACATAACACCAGGTGAACCGCCATCTCGTTTGCCACCTTCACACATAAAAAAAGAAAAATCTGATATTTTATATATAGTACTACTACATTAACTGCCAAACATGACCGTAAAATGACCGAAACGTAATCTTTTTATACATGATTCATACTTTGAAGCGTTGTATTGTCATCTTTACCAGATTTATAATTTAATATGGGCATTGAAAAGTTGTGAGAGATCGGCGTCGGTAGCCACTCAATGAGTCACCGTCGCTACCATTCTTTAATCTGGCCCGTCGCGCATCGCCCGGCCATGTGTAGGTAGCGACACTCCCGTCTGCAATACTAGTAGTATATGCGACGCATTGACTCATTACTTTTGTTTAAAACTGAATCACAACTTCAATTATTATGCGTAGTATCATTTCATTAATTCTGATATACAATTGTGAAGGGTGACATATTATGTCAGTATTTTGAAAAATATTTGTGTCTTTTATATTGTAGTCTTTTAGTTATTTTAAATATTTATAGTTTAATATATTATTGATTCAGGCTTTCGAATTTACCCTAGCTACCCTAATACCTGGGACGGGTAATACATAAATTCTTTTCACTTATATTAACTACTATTACAAAATGAAATAAAATCTTTTTTACTCTACATTATTTTCACTTCACAATAGACATAAATCATTACTTAGAGAATTTCTACGTTCTATAGAAAATATAAGCGTCATACTATGAAACTTGTTCGACTGGAAAGAACAAGTCTCCGAGACGAGAGAGTCGTCACAATGAGAGGGCTTAGAGCTCGCTCTTCATTTTCCGCAATACAGTTTGGCTGACTTTACATTGATTCTGAGTTCGCATTTAAGCTTGTAAGTTTCCGCTCGATATCTTTCAATGCAATGGTCATAATGACTCGTGAAACTTGTTTGTTACTTAACCATTGTTGGTTCTCTCCCATATGTTCCACAAGTCTATATTTTTTACGTAGTAGGTATGGCGATCGCTTTGCGATTGCGAAATACTTGCCTTTAGTCGTTATGTTAATTTTAAATGTATTTATACAATGAGATCAATTTGAACGTTCTCGTGGGTTCAGGGATAGAATTATTCGTGTTACAGAGGCATTGCGGCAAAGTCGTCCACTACCGCACATTCCAGACCTGCCGGATGGAGAAGGCGCCGGGCCAGCGCCTGCCACGCCGCAACCACTCGACACCGCCAACAGGTTTTCTATTTTAACTCAAAGTTTCGTCACCAGAATCTAGTATACCTCTGCGCCGTGTTCCAACAAGAGTGGCGTCCTCGCATTTATCAGGTGATTAATTTTTCGCTTAAAAATTTGGGCTGCTGGAGACTGGTGAAATTTTAACCCAATTACTAGAAAATTTCGATAGGAAGCTGGGCGAGTTTGCGGTAGTCAAAACTGCCATTGTCTGTCCCTTAATTTTAAAGGTACTTAAAATTTATTGAACATCAGCGCACAGCAAAAAGAATAATTATATTCAAGTTTATAAATATCGCAAGAATATTATAGCATTCGACATTTATATCTTTGCAGATGGACATCAAAAGAAAACTTACTAGCCCATCAAGAAGAAGACGATCCGCAACTATTCGTGGCGTTGTACGACTTCCAGGCGGGAGGCGAAAATCAGCTTAGCCTAAAGAAAGGTATTGAGCTCTTTCAGTAGGGATGTGTGCGAGCTAACATGTGGTCATAAAGTGAGCTTTAAATATTTCTTTCTATACGTCGAATGTACCGTCCGCCAGACTGTATAGGATCAGGGTGAAAAATCGACGAAAAGTAATTTGAAATCATAATTTATTTCAGGTTATTCGCTTCGCCGAATGTTTTTGTGTGAATGTAAAGTAATAACTTCGATATAGTCTGCTCTATTGTGTGTTATTAGTTTGAAATGTCGGTCGCGCTGAGTACGAAGCCAAATACGTCCTAATAATCCATGATATAACGTATGCATTAGAAATCTGCCATTAACAAACAAATACTTGACGTTATGTAACACGTGACAGACGTCTGTCGACAAACAATTATTATAATTAGATGAAAGGCACTTTCACAGCTCGTCAGTGATGTCAAGCTACCGAACTGTGTATACCTCTGCACGTATCAAACGGAAACTTGTTAGGTACCGTAATGTCTCTTCCTCCGATGAAGGCAGGCAGGTGCGCTCGCTAATTGGCAACTAATTAACTCCGTCGTCGCAGTTTCGTCTTCCACAGGCATCTTCCAACCCTGCTTACTGGTCTGGGAATTTAACGAACAGTGCTCTGGTTAAGCAAATTTTCTAGTTTGCTTAGCATTAATCGCATTATTTAGTCACTGCCCCTATTGCTACATCGAAAGAAAGAAAAAAATCATTTACATTGGAACAGAACACTAAAAAATTACCAAATGTTGTGAAATAGAAAAGAAAAAGAAACCTAAATTAAAAAGATCATAAAATATGATTATTTTACACTATGATAATACTAACATTATTATAACAAAAAAAGCATTGTGCGTTTCTGACCGCTGGACCCAATAGGTCTCCGGATCAGCTAATAGTCGGGCTTTAAAACCTGACGCTGGTTTTCATCTAGAACTCATATTCATCACAGATGTCAAATTAAAAAGAAAGAAAACATAAAATAACAAAAGTAAAAAAACCTGTAGATATCACCGAATAAATAAGCAAATATTACATTTTAGAGATAAATAAATATGATAGCGTATGTTATTATAAAATATTACTTCAATTACGTTCACAAAGCAAAATAATGATAAATAATATCGAAATAAAGAATAAGAAACTATTTTTTAAAATTATTATTATCATGTATTTTTTCGAACAGTTGATTACGGTTCGAAAAAAGACATGACAAAGTTTATTTAAATATATAATTTATCAACGAAACATCGCAGTGGTATTCAACTGGTCCAAATGGTATTCGTCCCGTTCTTCAGATTCCAACCCGTATGTATAACCTTCATAAACAATTTATATCGACCACGTATCACCAGCAAGTATTATGTGATAAAACGAATCATATTTGTAAATCCATTAAACTTACAAATCAAGTAACAATTAGGGATGCCGAAAGTCGAAAAAAATAACGATATATCGGTCAAATTTTCGGTTTTAAAAAAAAATAAAGTAGGTAATAGTAACTTTTATACCAAATTCACATTTTAATGAATGAGAAATTTTAATAAAACGTTAAATATTTATTAACTTTAATCAAATTTCTTTTATTAATTTAAATTTCTACGTATATTATTCATCAAGACCTTCATTGGAAAAAAACAAACAGCTTATTGAAACAGTTTCATTAGCTCTAAATCTAAACTAATAAAAAACGTAATTTTGTAAAAAAAATAAAGAATTGTTTAAAAAGAATTTAATAATTGATTAAAAAGAAACTAGCAGAGACTTATCCTAAAAGACTGGTCTTGATCAGCAGAATTTAGTAATAATTGTTTGATTGAAATGAAAATGCTGAATGACAAAAAAAATGTGGTTAAATGATAATAATTTTTTTTGAAAACTCAATATTATAAATTATGTGACATTTTATTATTGAGAAATCGATAATAATTACATTTTGTTCACTTTATTTACATATTAAGTTAAAGTAACTTTCGTTGATGTCATTAATATTTTGCATGCTATTTATAAATTAATATAATATGTAGTTCAATATTAATGATTTGTAACACCTCTATACCATGTTGTATCTAAGATATGGGTAGAATAAAGAACGTAGCATCAAATTGTAGTATAAATACCGTAATTATGGTACAAAATGCAACTGCGCATCCGCGACAATACTAGTAGACCACAGTTTTTTCCATTCATTTTTATCTTTCATTCAAAGCCTTGAATCAGTTTGAATAAAAACATCGTTTTTGATACGATTTCGAAATTCAATTTTTTATATCGATATATAGGACCAAATATATCGGCTAAAAATATCGATATATTTTAAAAAAATATCGATATATCGACATTTGAGACGAATACACACACGCAAGCACGCACGCAGGCACGCACACACACACGCACGCACGCACGCATGCACGGACGCGAGCACACATGCACACACAAAAACAAAACACACACACACACACGCACACAAACCACACACACTTATTATTATGTTACGTATTTCTTGTATGCTGTGAAGTTTCCTAATAAAGTAAATAAATAAATTAACCATTACTAAACTACATAATTATAACAATAGGTTGTTTATAGCACGAATGTTTTATTAAACCTATGAGTCTTTTTTTCTTCATTTTTTAAAAGGGTTTAATCTTTACAGATTATGCCACCCTCATTGTGTTCACAAGATTACAAAAAACAAAAATAAAACAGGATTTACATAGATCAATGTAAACCACCTCTGTGTCTTATTCCTAAGTTAACAATTCTATAAAGTAACCTGGCAGAATCCACGGATTGGCAGAATGACGGATTTGCAAGGACTGTATTACATACTCCAGTTTCGAAAAAATTATGTACTAAATTACAAAGATCTCTTCTCTCCGGTTCGCTACGGGAGCATTCCATTATTGCATGGTACATCTTCACTTGTATTGCAGATTGTACAGTTCTGGAATTGTGCTTGTCCCATCAAAAAAGCGAATTTGTTCAAAGGGATGGGCCTAGAGCGAAGTCGGAGAGCAGTTATGATTGTTTGTCGTCCCATGTTGATATTGTCAATCCACGTATGTTTTAAAATATTAGGTTGAATCGTAGCATACCATATTCCTTTACAGCGACTACGTTCATTGAAATATTCTTGCCAAGTTAAAACAATAATTTTATAGTATACTTCTTTATAAAATGAACCTACTCATGTGAGTAGGTTTCTCCGCAGTTTGATGCTTCTTTGGCCAACTGATCGACGATTTCATTGCCTATTATACCAACATGGGACGGGACCCACTGCAATACAACATGTTTATTGATTGTAAGTTTACAAATTGTTTCTATTATATTGTATGCTAGGTAGACCACGTATAGTAGATGTACAATGTTTGAGCAACTGTAAGGCACAACGCCTATTAGTCTTAAACATCCTATTCATTCAACAAGTCGTCATTGATAATAATAAAGTAGTTACTCGTAAAGCGGTGTCGCTAATCCATTCACGGACGACGCTAGCTTATTTGGGTGGAACCGATTTTCGGTCTACGCTTATGGACATGCCACCACAAGCGTAGTCCGATGGGTATGCACGTTAATTTTGTCCTACTCGATAATGGAGTAAAACACTTTTGCTTTCGAAACTGAATCAATCTCTTTAAAAAAATCGAAAACTCTTATTAAGAACGTTGAATTTAAAATAGTTTTTCTATTAATGAGTTCAGTTCAACTGGCTTTATAAGACGGATTCTTTTAAACAATTCTTTGATGAAATTAAAAGCGAGTAATATAATTAAATCATAATTCACTCACCGGAATAATAATAATTATTTCGCAAGAATAAATTCTCTAATTAAATATCCGCGTTCATCGAGGCTTGAGAGGGATTAACGCTTAAGCGAGCACGCAGATTAAGCAATCTTATTTATATATTAGGTTTACATAAATTTTTGTTTGAAAACTTTCCTGTTGTGAATGTTTTCTAAATGCAAATAAAGGTCACATAAAAACAACTAAAACTACTCTGTTAATTAGAGTTTGCTGGAGGTTCTTAAAAGCTCTCTCGCTTAATGCTCTGATATCGATGAAAGAAAACTTCTCAACTACCGACCAAGAGTTGAGTTAATTCACTGACATATCAAGATTTCAAAGCATCAGCGGTTAGATAGAAGGACGCTATTCAATAATTACGTTCAACTTTTCTGAAGGGAAATATCGAGAGATGAAAAATTTACCGCAATAATATGTAAGAATTTAAATATTATTTTCTAATTCAATTAGAAGATTTTTCGATAAAAAATTGCGTTGCCTTTGATTGCGAACGTTTTTTTTGTGTGATTTGTGGTTATTCATGATTTCCACGCTACATACACACTTCTTCTTCAATCATCACGCTTCCATATGTTACCTACATGATTCACAATAATTTCAAATTAATTTTTATTTGCTTTTCGATTTTTTATTTCATGTGTGTAGTGTAGCTTTCTGTTTTTTTTGTGTGATTATTGAATGAATTGGAATGAACAGGTTTTTAAGTTAATATCGATTAATGTAAGGCCCATTTACGTGATGCCATTTTAATTTAATACAATAAATTAAGCGCAATAATTGACCATCAAGAATTGTAAGCAACCGTTTACACGCAGATAAAATAAAAAAAATGAATGCGAATATTGAATGCAAATCTTGACAAATAATTGCAAATGTGTTTTGTTTACACCAATACAATTTTGTTTAGGAGATTATTGTAAATGGGGCTTTACTCTCATCTGGGTTAAGCAATTAATCTACCAGTACTTAAAAATTTAACGCAGCTAAAAGGCGTTTTTTTTGTGAACCTGGTCGTAACAGGTACTCGTACACTTACAGAAAAAGTACATTAATAGCCTATACATTCCACTGCTGGGCAAAGGCCTCTGTACAGAGGGGCGCACGCGACACCACTGCGGATTGGCAGACTTCACATATCTTCGATATATATACTGTGAGTGTAGAGCTTTGCACCAGATTCTACTGTTGCACGAATACCTTGCAGAAATATCAAACGTCAAGACGAAATGTTAGTAAACGTGTTTTGTTACAAAATGCGCTGAGCATTCGTCACTTTTTACAGACATATTTTTTTATTTTAAAATTGTCTCTAAAATTTATATTATTAACATGAATACATGAACAGACGTGGTTTCGGTATGAGTGTGTTTTGTTTTCTGAACGAAAATCGAAACACACGGAACACCAAGATATCAGCTATTTTAGTGGCAATAATCAAAAGCTGCATAGCTTCATAGCTGTTAATGAAACATAATAATCATTATTTTCTTTAACAGCAAATAGCATTTAATAAGAGTCTTTTCAATATAATCACTGTTGAATTAATTAAACACTAAGGAATTTGCTGACTCCCTTCTTCCAGTAATGGAGCAACCCCCTTCCACGAAACAGACCTAACCTAAAACTGGTTTTTAAAATTCCATTTCTGTCCGTCTTCAAACATAAAAATTTAATATTTGCAATTTTACAATCAATAAGTTTAACTTTTTCTGTTGGCTGAAATGTCTTAGCTATAATGACATTAATGCGTAGCTAATATTCACAACAAAGTCAATTGCGAACTAACTAACACGAATTAAAGAATTTTTTGATAACAAAAAGAACATAACAAAACAACAAATGTAAACATTTTGTTGTTTTGTTATCTTCTCCGTTACTCGTGAACCAACAGAAATAAAAGCACTCAACTTAAATTTTAAAGCCATCGCGTTTTTCTCCCAATCGTTGCCTACGTTCTATTTTTATTTCGTCCCTGCTCTAAAGGATACAAAATGAGACGGGGTCCGCTATTTGTTTACAAAAAACATTGAATAAAAAATGAAACGTGAAAGTTGCTTTTCTATATTGTTTGTTAGAGATTTTATTTTAAATATAGTATATGCTCGAAGTGGATAAAATTAAAGGTTAATCAATTAAATTTATTATCTGGCTGTAATTTATGTTTGTGTAAGGGTTGTTGGTATTACAATGTTCTATGCATAACATTTTTTTGCTTTCGATTCACATTTTCTAGTGATAAAAAAAGGAAACATTATAACTTTAGCGTAAAAGTTACCTTTAAACTTGCTCCTAAATCTTTTAAGAGTCATGATCGAGTACATTAACACGAACTTCTATAAGAGCTTTAGCAAAGCTTTGAGCGGTCGAACGTTCGCGTAGTGCTTGTCACTACAGAAAATTGCACCGACGTAGTTTCAAAGCTGCTTGAGGCACACTAAAGAAACTTAAAGCGGCGTGTACTGTGTAGTTGACAGAATTTAAACGTGCATCTTACACTAGGCTCCTTTGTTGGCTGCGCACACTTTTGCGATTGAATTTTGTATAAAATCTTTAGCGACGCTTATAAACTATTTATTATAACTTTAATTTAATTAACTGCACCATTTAATTATAATATATAATTAAATGTAATATGATACGATAATGAAGCCAAAAATAAAATCACCAGTATACGGCTGGTCTGTGCATTGTCTGTCTTACTGATTCTAGGATAAAAATGTACTTTGTTTAATGAAAAATGACGTACATTTGGTATGCCATATTGAAATACCAACGACAAAGCGTTTGATTTTCAGTGCCATATACATTTTACGTGAAAAATATCTTCTGTAGTATGTTTTTATCTGTAGTAAATTTTTTTTATGTGACGTGGAGGCAAACGTGCTGACCGTTCACCTGATGTTAAGTGATACCGCCTCCACTGGACATTTGTAAAAACCGAAGGGTTGCAGATGCCGTGCCAATTTATAATAAAATGAGCCAGGTTCCCACACTCACCAGACGAAACCTAGAAGTAAAACACTTCTGCTTCACGCCTGTTCGTACTTACCCGGACGAACCTGTCCATTCATGCGTAAGTGAAGACTGGTGCGAGGTCCAACCGCAGTTTTGTTGTATGTTTATTTTTTTTAATTATGTGAACATTTTGTTTTCGATTCACTGTTACAATCAATTTATGTATTGATATATAATTATTGTTTTCATAATATTTTTTCTGTTTAATTCCATTACAAGGACCTAATATTCGATTAGAAAAGTTAACTTGTTCTTATTGATTTTTTTTTGAAAAACTCATGTTTTTGTATTCCGAGACTATGAAAGCTTCATCTGACGCAGAACCGGTGGGCCAGCCAGAACCATTTTTTTAGCTAATGAGTTAAATAGTTTTTTTGGGAAACGTTAATATTGAATCCTTCCATACAAAGGAATAACTTAGCTCTCTATCTTACGATAGTAGTCGACGATATAAAGGGATGTGTGCGACGACTTTATAAAGGTAAATATGCGAATACATTTAGGAAGCATTTTATTAAGTTAAGAGTTATGTAATATAACTTTTATTCCGCACAGCCCGTAGTGCTAGTTCGTGTAGTAGTTATTTTAGTCGTGCTCGATATCTGACATGATAATCAAATAAAGGTCGGCCAACAAGTGCGCCCGTTACGCTTATGATTCAATTACTGTTACAGTTTTTGTGATTGATTCGGTCGTTATGGAAAAAATGTTTACCTTTTTTTTACGGTTACTTCTACTCTATTCAAGAAATCTTTGTAAATCGCATTTTTTTGTACTGTTGAATTATCTATGATTTGAAAGAACTTACATAATTGTCATGTCTCAAACGATTATTCAGTTCGTATGTTTTAAAAGCTTTAGCTTATTCCTATACAAAATGGCATACAATACTTTTTCTTACTTACATAATAAATATGTCTGGAAGTATAAAGCAGCCAAGGCTTAAGAAGTTATTCAAATATGTATTTTTATTTTATCATCATCATCCTCCTGCCCTTATTCCAGCTCGGTGGGGTCGGCACAACATTTAAATCATGTTCTACGTGATTTTTGCGGCCGCTTGCCTGTGGTCAACCCTCCTTAGGAACAAACACCCAAACTGGAACAATTATCTGCGGGCAATGCAAACACGAGACAACCTGTTAGGTAATTGAACCCACGACGCCCGCACCTAAGCCAATACCTTGGCACCTGTACCACGGAGTTAGCTTCAAAATATATGTCTTTTTATTTAATATAACAATTTACTCTACGTTGCGACATCAGTGTCATAGATAATTATATAAATTTCAAACACGCTTGTGCCCACTCATTTTAGGTTTTATTTGCGGAAAAATTCCTAGATAGCTGAATTTTTGTATGCACCTCTATTACGGCGTTTTATTGAAGATGTGAAAAATCGACATTTATATCGTGTCGAAATTTATAAAGGTCAAAAGGTCACGAAAATAAGTTTTACGCAATTATCTTGCGACCTATTTGCTCGGAGGACAATAGAGGTTCGTTATAAAAATTGTTTGTTGTGAAATTATCTACAAAAATGCCTCTAGCATTTTTCTGTAGATTGTGTAACTGTTCGGAGTGGATCGCTGAGAAAGCGACTATATTATGACGAAGCACTCGTTTCCTCACAACTTTTCAGGTAGAATGAAAGGTATATTTTTTACATGGTTTTTCCGTAGGCATAATCATTGATATGTAATAAGTTTATTTTTTATTTAAGAGTAAATAATTTTTCAAAATTCAAAATTTACTCGCTCCTATAAACTTCTTCCACATTTATCACTGCGCGCCTCTGATCAATAGAGCTGATTCTTTTCTTACGCGGAGATATTGATGTACTCGGTTCTTCTTGGCGTCGTTTAAAAGCCGAAATACTCAAATTGTTCTTATAATTTTTACGACAGTTACTATAAACATTCACAAAAGTCAACGTATTTAAATATTAAATATTACCATCAACAATATACCTCTAGCGGTACTGGCATTTTTTAATGTTTGTGGACCACGTCTAACTTCTACTAGATCACCATCCGGTAAAAATTCATTGCATATAAAACATGTATCACCCTTTATGAAAATTGTTCAAGAGCATGAAACTACTAAAATAACGTCTTTAACACTCAAGAATCGGCAGTAGTAGTACTAACTACATATTCCTCAATAAAATAACTGTATACTAAATTGCCGATTATAAAATAGATTGAGAGAATATGTTTAGATAATTAAACATATTGTTCATGTTTTAAATTCACTATCGTGAGTATGCGCTACAAGATCTTTCTACCGCCATGGTATTTCAACTTAGTAAGGCTTAGCGCCTACATGTTTCAATTTTTTTTAAAGTAATGCGTCTCTTTGATATGTCGCAGTCTGATCGAATTGATCCCTATCCTATTCGCATTTTTCTTTTATAACCCATACGACTTAGTTGAAGCAGCGGACTTGGCACCAATAACGCACGATTTATTATTATAATAGGCGACTACGCCTCGTAAGACTTGGTTAAAGCGCCGCAACCCTATATCGTGACCCCGCGACCGCCTCGTTACCAGATCGCTAGCAATCGGTGCGCCATTTCAGGTGAACAGGTGCGCATAATGAGCTACAACAAGAGCGGCGAGTGGTGCGAGGCGCACACACTGTCCGGCGGCCGCGTGGGCTGGGTGCCGAGCAACTACGTGACGCCGGTCAACTCGCTGGAGAAGCACTCTTGGTACCACGGACCCATATCGCGCAACGCCGCCGAGTATCTCCTGTCGTCCGGCATCAACGGCAGCTTCCTGGTACGTTTTTTTAATGCTAGAAGTTGCCAAGCGAGCAGACGGTTCACCTGATGTTAAGTGAACACCGCCGCCTATGGACATCTGCTATGCCCGAGGGTTAAAGATGCGTTGGCGACCTTTTAAACTTTGGGCTCCGGCCACCTCACTCATCAGACGAAACGCGTAAGTATCACACTTCCACTTTACGCCGGTCCTCTACGTATCGTCCGTATGTGTTTTCGAGGTTGCACTTCTTTTGGCGCGTTTGGAGACATTTCTGAGATTGAAATTATTACGATGCGCACGCGCACAGAAATCCAAAGCGTAATGATGCTCGGAAACACGCCACGACCTGCCCATTCGTGCAGCGTAGACCGTTGAGTGGCCCTACCACGATGTGGTTCCGTTATATTCATCCATATCCGTCAATAAATGCGTTAATAAGCTTACTCATTTAATTTCGTGAACAGATTAGTCCTGTTTGAATGACAATTTGTATCTTATTAATTCACATAACTAGTTATATTTCAAAATGGTAGCTTCGATCTATTATGCATTATAAATATACACGTATTGAATATTCATTAATACACAAAAGGAACCGAAATATCTCACTTAATATGTACATTCTAAATAGGCTTGATATTAAATGAAACAATATTTCTGTGATTAAGTAAAATAATAAATTAAAATGAATTAAAAAAAATATATTTTATATAAGCCGTAACCATATAATAACTAAATGTGTTTCAAACGATGTCTTGTTACAGGTTCGCGAGTCTGAGTCCAGCCCTGGCCAAAGAAGTATATCCCTTAGATATGAAGGCCGCGTGTATCACTATCGCATCAATGAAGATTCCGACGGAAAGGTTACATTGAAATTATTATTACACCGTAAATGTCAATGGGTCAGATGGACACTCTAAAAATAGTGGTGAATACTTTCACGGCCTCTTGAAATGCCGCTGCGATACAAAACTGATCTTTGTCCAAACTATTTTTGTTGCAAGAAGTTGTCATACGAGCAGGCGATTGTTAAATGAATCAACAACCGGTGGCAAGCAGATGCGTTGGCATCCTTTAAAACGTGGGCCTCGGCTATCTCACACACGAGACGAAGCGCAAAATTTTAATACTTCCACTTCACGACGGTTTCGTTCGTGCAACAGCGGAAGATGTTGCGTGGACAATAAAAAGTAGTACTTTTACGGGCCATAAACACATGATCGATGAACTTAACCATACCTCTCCGCTAGTAGACTGAACAAACAAGGAGGTCCGCCTTAAAGAGTCAGTCTTTTTTTATGTTAGAGGACGGTAGACAAGTGGGCGGTCGACCTGGTGTTAAGTGATAACTGCCGCCCCTTGACATTTGCAAAATTGTTACGTTTGTAGATGCGTTGCCACCTAATGATAATGTGGGCCCCGGCTACCTCGCTCACCAGAAGAAACGCAGAGGTATAACACTTCCTCTTCACGCCGGTCTCTAGTGAGGTTCTCTCTACATACCCGGACGGGCCCGCCCATTCGTGCAACAGCCGAGGCTGCTGCGTGGCCCCATCACAGCGGTCTGTAGAGAAAACCGCCCAATTGCGAGGCGGACTCGCGCCCGACTGGTTCCGTACCCATTATCTATAAAAACGGCGTAAAATATCACGTATGTCGTATCGGAGACCCACTTAAATGCTTTTTAATATGGCTGACTATCGCGGTTCATCTTATGAACCGTGATAGTCAACCATATGTACATCACCATGCTGGATACAACATGGTGATATACATATGAACAGACAGACAGACAGTCAGACAACGGGGTCTTAGTGGAAGGATCCCGTTTTGCCCTCTGGAGCCCCGAAGACAAGCTTGCACGCAGGTGTACGTGACGTCCGAGTCGAAGTTCGGCACGCTGGCCGAGCTGGTGCACCACCACTCGGTGCTCGGCGACGGGCTCATCACGCAGCTGCTGTACCCGGCGCCGAAGCGCAACAAGCCCACCGTGTTCCCGCTCGCGCCGCCCGACGAGTGGGAGATCGACCGCACCGACATCGTGATGAAGCACAAACTGGGCGGCGGCCAGTACGGCGACGTGTACGAGGCCGCCTGGAAGAGGGGCAACGTGACGGTGAGCCATATTGTGGAAAAAAAGGGTGTGTGTGTATGTACGTGTATGCTTATGTGCGTTAGAAGTTATACTTCTTTGGCATAACAAGTTAAAAATCTATACGAAGATTTTATTATTCGCCTTACTAACCTAGAATGTTTGTAGAAAAAATGACACAATAGAAAAAAGGTATTTAATATTTAATACATTGAAAGTTTTATTATAACGCATTATCTAGTCAAATAAAGTTTATTTAAATATCACAAAATAAATATCGTGAATACAGTTGTCAATTCTCACGCAAATATACATAGCTAACTTCAGCATCGTATAATTTAGTCTCATTCTCGTTTTCTTTTTCGTTTACGTGATATAAAATTAATAGTTGTGGTATTATTGTGAATTAAAGACTTTAAATATTGTATTTATATTCAAGTGAATAATTCGTACTGATTTATCTAACAAGTGTTCATTTTTGAATAATAACTCCAAAGCGTAGATTTAGCCTCTTAGCTTAATTTTTGTTTTCTTACAAATTGGTAACTTATATATGAATTATTATGTAAAATTCGACAGTCAGAAGAACGTGCAAGCGTCTATTTGTATATATATATAAATAAATAATATATTTGTATATGTATATATAATACGATCAGTCAATTCAAATGAAACTCTAGTCAAATATCAAGAGCTAGAACAGTCCTCTGTTACAAATTCAACGGCTGCCCTGATCCAACTCGTAGACCTCGTTCGCAGAGTTCAATGCAATGGCGTCTCCATTTAAAACAGGTTGCGGTGAAAACGTTGAAGGACGACACGATGGCGCTGAAGGACTTCCTCGAGGAGGCGGCAATAATGAAGGAGATGCGCCACCCCAACCTGGTGCAGCTGCTCGGCGTTTGCACAAGGGAGCCGCCGTTCTACATTATCACGGAGTTCATGAGCCGTGGCAACTTGCTCGACTACCTGCGCACGGGCAACCGCGAGCACATCGACGCGGTGGTCCTCATGTACATGGCAACCCAGATCGCGTCCGGAATGAGTTACTTGGAGAGCCGTTCATTCATTCACAGGTAATTTCGCTCGCTTCTTTCGCGCGTCTTAGTAAATTGTTCTTTATTCTTTAAAAAAAAAAGAAAACATTGCGGTCGTGGGTTTGTCCATACGAAGCAAGCATTATTGCATTATCCAAGGATATATGTTACGGATGTGACGAGATTGCAAGCGAGCTGGCGGTTCACTGGATGTTAACTGAAATCCGCCGTCCACTGACATTTGTAACACGCGCAGAGTTGCAGATGCGTTGCCACCTTTTAATGAAGTGTGCCTCACTCAACCAAAAGTGTAAGTATACCGCTTCACGTTGGTCTTCTGTGAGGTCGTGGTACTTACCCGGACGGACCTTCCCATTCGTGTAACGGCGAACACTTTTGCGTGGCTCCACCTATAATAATAAGACTGCCAAAGAGAGAGTAATACTCTCACACGCTCGCTACACGGCGTTCCTTAGCCTGGCACCTTTAAATTGTTTACTATGTCACGTTGTAATACGGATTATTGGTCGTACGACCTTTAAGTTAGAGTTTCATCAAAGTTTTGCATTGATGATTATCGATATTATATATATTACATTATCATGTAGAGTTAACTATCAGGTCAACTGTTCGGTCTTCTTTCACCTCTTTTTTGAAGCAAAACAAAGGGATTTGAAGGTCATTCGTTTCCCCTTGACCAAAAATGATTGACTCTACCGCGACAAACGATGCTTTATTTGTCGTTTTCATATTGCCCATTACAGTGTTAGATAACAATGGTTGTAGAGTATATTGAAATAGAAGTAAGTGGTCTTGTCTCTGTTTTCCCACGGGAAAGCAGCACAGTTTTTAAGTTAGAAGTTTAAGCTTTTTTCCCGTTTATGTTCTTCTAGCGTTTTAGCGATCAAAATCATTAATTGGCGCTGTTGAGATACCATATTAATAATGTTTTATTGATTGCTTAAGAATGTCATTGATCGTATTACGTAACCACCACCATTAATTAAAATTTACTTTTTAACAAATTACCCTCCTCTTAATTATCTAGAAGGCATGGAATCACTGTTATACCGCGAGGGTTTGCTGAACAATGGAGACATTACCTAGAAACATGCAAACCATTTCCTACTCCAATAAATAACATGAAATTCTTCTTAATTGAACATTTATAAAACATCATAATACTATCGAATTATTTGCAAAGCGGGACGCGCGCGTAACCTAGTCCTAAAACGCCCCGCAGGGACCTGGCAGCTCGCAACTGCCTCGTAGGCGAGAACCACCTGGTGAAGGTGGCGGACTTCGGGCTGGCGCGGCTGATGCGCGACGACACGTACACCGCCCACGCCGGCGCCAAGTTCCCCATCAAGTGGACCGCCCCGGAGGGCCTCGCCTACAACACATTCAGCACCAAGTCCGACGTGTGGGCCTTCGGCATACTGCTGTGGGAAATCGCCACGTACGGCATGTCCCCCTATCCCAGGGTCGACCTGGCGGACGTCTACCACATGCTCGAGAAGGTACATGACGCTTCACGGTTCCATTGCTTCTTCCATCTGCATTTCAGACTCGATTTATGTCTAGATTTGTGTCTCGTTCATAGTAAAATGTACTTTAGCATGCATTTAAATTCAACCCCCCCCCCTTCCCCCCATTAACTACGCCTATAAAAAGTCGATCGCGGAATATTTTAAAAGTAGATGTTTGCACAATAATGTAGGCCACCCTGATTTCGCCAGTTATGTTTCACAAAATAACTTTATATAATTATTGTGTCTATATAATTATTGTCAAGATGATGATAATGAAATAATGGTAAAGAGCAGAACATTTGCTAGGCCAGCTCCATAATTGGTAAACATAATAGCCTACTCTTAGCAAATATTGAGCTGTGAGATAAACTCTAACTTTTTTGTTTAATGATACGCGTTTTTAATATTGGTTTAAACAATTATAACAAGTAGTTAAATTCACGACTTGTTACATTTGTTAAATTGTTTTTCTTAAAAGTAGTGGCTTCTTTAATATTTCTATTTAGTATAGGTTGTGTGTGTACAATAAAGGCTGTCTGTAAAATATATTAAAAGATACTTAAGTTCACACGTTATTGTTTAAAGTTTATTTTATATATAAACTACCAATCACAGCACACTTACGACCTATGAATTAATTCAATCAAAACGTTTAAGCTCATAAATTTCTCAACTCTAGTCATTTAAAGTATTCAACTATAGAGTTGAATACTCATACAGAGGATCATAGGATCCTAAACAATATTTTCTATTATGAATGAAGTTTTTATAACATTTCATTCACATTACATCAATATATAAACAGTGCATTTTTAAGCCTTTATTTTATTGTCTATCGCTGAATGACGAATTTAATTTTCTATGCATTGATCGATTCAATCTAAATATTTTATGAATTTATTTATTTTATTGCAATGAAAATATCCATTTCTCGTCATCTGTTATTCAAATTTGTTTTCACTCGTACTTATGTGTAATACTTAAATTAATTAGGCTAAAGTTCTAAATTTATCATAAGATTTTAATACATTTTAATTGTTCGCGTCTATACAACGGGCGCAAATGACCAACAATTAATTCCTGCACTTCATCTGTACAGATATTAAACAAAAATTGTGCATAGCAATAATTTGAAATTACACACTAAGGCGGAGAGCTTTGCTATGAAATGATTGCCCAATCAAAGTACTTCGCCAAAACAACTACAATTGCGGGCGATTGGCACATTGTTGCTCAAACACGTTGTGTAAGACGCGAACTACAACAACAGCGCGTATTCAAACACTGCGATAACAAAATCAACCTTGCTACGGAAAGAGGCACGTATATCACGTATCTGGAGTAATGTTCGCTGTTCTAGAATATTAGGGAAATATTATAGAATTATTCAGTCACGAGCATTGATGCAGTTTGTGTAGACAAAAATTGAGTGTTGAATTATCGATTTATGGCACCGCAAATGATGCACGTTTAGGCTATTCCTTTTTATTTCTCTTTAAGCGTTATCGCAATTGGGATCGTCCATTAACCACGTGAGGGTCGAAAGGGGGGCGAGGGGTGAGGGGGTTCAGAAAAATCACGAAATATCACCATGTGGCGGTGGTTAGTGCTAACACAAAGACGTCACGCGATTGATGGAAGACCCCTTTACAAGTATCTATTTAAGCGGACACACACACGCACACGCCCACCTCGCATCTTTGTACAGAGCTAAGGGAGACCAGTTACTTGACAACACATGCCAGCTCCGCGCCCGCAAGGTGGTGTGGTGGTGGCTAAATGCCGCACGCCTATCTGCCGGCACAGTCTCTCACGGTCCCCGTACACTTTGGCCTGGCGCGCGCCGTTCTAGCAGTGGGCGGCGTCGGTGCACAGGTGCTTTTTGCACAGCGTGCACTGCGGCCGGCTGACCGCTATCCGCGAGAAGATCTCCGAGGCGGACAGCTCCTTGCTGAGCTTGCTGCACATCGAGTACGAGACCGTCTTCTTGGGGAAGTCCTTTACGGGCACGCACGTGCGCGCGCGCACCGGGCCGATCTCCTGCCCCGACTCCACTGCAAGCGAAACGCGCGGTTACATGCCCCACCCCGATGGGCTCCCTATGTTAAAGCCAGACTCAAGTGGACAAGTTTGGCTTGCGACTTTGACGTACACTACATCGCGCGGCCACCCAGCTAAGTACAGTTATGGGTGCTGCGCGGTTGCAAAGTCAATTGGGCAAAGTTGGCTTTTGACTTTGACACCCCACTTCCGCGGCCATATTGCACCTTACAGATATGGATGCTATGATGAACATTGATGTTCAGATCATATCATTACCGAACTCACCCAGTTTTGCCGACTCCGACGTGATAACGATGCAGAGGAACGCCATTCCCGGGATGTAGCAGTCGATTTTCGGAACCTGGAAAAGGATAAGTCGCTCACGTCGCTGCTTGAAAATCGCATATTCGCTTCGATTAATACCAATGCTGGTACTTACGGTGATATTGGCGTAATCCGGATGGTCGGGATCCCAACAGCCGGGGTGGTCAAATGAGAGGCAATTGTAGCACTGGATGCCCTTTATAGAAGGTGAAACAAATTTCTTCTGTTTAACCTTTTTGTGTTTTCCTAAAATATAACACGGTCTAATGATTATTACTATATATGTTACGTCGTATTTCGACTAAAAATTCCCAACTAGCACACATTCATTATCGGGCAGCTCTAATTGTCCGTCCGACGGTGGAGATTTCCTTTCGAGCTGTTTACCAACTTCGCCCGTTCCGCCCCGTTCGACGTTAAACAGCCGTCGGGACGGTGTTCCGTCAACATTCATAATCCGTGCTTATCTGACCTAATTTATAATCTGTGACTAAAGCTGTCAGCTCACCTATGACCGCGACCGAGACCATTAGGAGGTACACGATGGTGATCTTCGATGTCAGCATCGTGGACTCGACGCCTCCGTTTCGGGCTCGACGCGGCGACGGTGCGAACAAACGGCCCGCAGTATGACTGACGAAGCGGCCGACCGCGTTGCGTTTATAGCTTTGCGCCAAACAATGATGCTTGTTTTGGTTAGCGCGTCGTGCTCCCGCGCACAGGGTGCTCCAGAATTGGCCGTGTTTTTTCTTTGGGTTTTTTCCTCCTAACGAGGGGTGCCTTACTGTCTGGACCGCTCGGCCCATTTTCGTTTATCGCACAAGAGTAATTTGCTAAACTCGTTGATGTGTCGTATATTACGATGATTTGAAGTCATTGAAAATAGATACTTGTTGGATTCAAACAAAGTTGTAGTAGACGATTCAGTAGAATAGTAATAGTAGAAAAGTTTAATTTTTGAAGTTATACATCTTTTGGCGCGTTAGGGAAAAATGATGAGAGTAAATTTTTACGATGCGCGCGCACACCGTCGCGAAAAACCGACACCCTGAAGTTAGCTAGACATTACGTAGTTTTGCGTGAAACTAGATAATGCGTTATAATAAAACTTTCAATGTATTAAATACCTTTTTCTATTGTTTGTGGCGTTTTTTCTACAAACGTAGAATAAGGCAAAAGATAAAATTTTTGTAAAGGTTTTTTATCTTGTTACGCCAAAGAAGTATCTATAACTTTTAACGCGTGTATATAAGTACACACACACTTTTTTTGTTCACTACATATGATCGTAGATATGTAAACTATGAAGTTTGAGAGTTATTGTATAACAGAGTTTACGATAACTATTACATTTTTTTAATAGTTATCATAAACACTGTTATACAATATCTCTTAAATTGAAAATATTGTATTCCCTTATTATAAAAATGTTTAAAGAAGTGTTGTAAAAATCATCAATTATATAAAAAATAACACTTAACAATTTGCTGGGCTAGGACATTATTGGAATAATCAAATTATAAAAACTATAAGAAATAAAGGCCAAACCTTTATTAATCATTCAAATTTGATCGGACTAAAATTTACTACATGATGTGTAAATACTAAAATCTAGTAGTAATGTTTATATATTATTTTGTTGACTGTATATGGCTCGGTGCACGAGTAAATCGATTCACAAACGCATACTAATCTCTTAGTTATTTGTACACATAAACATTGTTAATTATTCATGATTCTCTTACAAAGCATGCGGCTATGACGGACCAGTTACGCACTAGGCAGTTCCCGGTTTGGATTACCGCGACTTACAAACTTACAACCTAACTACATTGTTTACTACGTTTATGATAATAAATGCTATTTATGAACAACTATTTCTGTTATGTCAAATAAAAAAAATCCGTGTCTTATAAAAATATTTAGAATGTAGCTGATTATGCAGTAAAATTTATGACGCTCATACTATAGATACCTAATTACTATAATTTAACAGTTTATACGCTAACTAAGAACTTGTGCTCCGTTGAGCATCGTCTATATATCTTATCATCATAGCATCGTCTATAACTATCGTTATAGTCAACATCGTCTATAACTGTCGTAGTAATACATTTCCCTGGAATATTCCTTAAATTTTTGCATGTTTTAATATACCAGCGAGTGCGTCCATTGAATTTATAATTATCAGACTGTAACTAATTTAAGTTAATTCACGCTACTTAGATAAATATTGTGTATCAAAGTCAGCAACGATCGCAATATCCCTTAATAAACAATTATGCTGTTAAAGAACTATAGTCGCACGGGACTTTGTGTCCTGTGGGCGACATCTCTCATTTTTATTGAATATCTTAGATTGGACTCAAATTGGCCGAACTAACCATGATCTTATAGTGTAGTTGAATTTAGTTTCAGTGACATTTCGATTCGTCCCTTGCAGGGCTACCGTATGGAGTGCCCGCCCGGATGTCCCGCCGCCGTTTACGAGCTGATGCGCGGATGCTGGCAGTGGAATCCGACCGACAGGCCCACCTTCCGCGAGATACACCACGCCCTCGAGCACATGTTCCAGGACAATTCCATCACTGAGGGTATGCGTTAGGCACCAGTTTCACCCGCCGCATAGCAAACGACACATCACTACGCTTACAACTTTTGTGATATGTGACGTTTGATGAGTACGACACGTGACATTGAAAGCAACTTTGATATGCGTGCCCCCTGTTAACCCAACCCGCTTATCGAACGCAAAAGTATAATACCTCCATTTCACAACGGTCTCCTGTGATTTCGTGGTACTTTCCTGCTGCTGCCATAGTCAGTATACATAATATAATTTTTTTATAATTTCTATGCTTGAATTTTGTAAAAGATCGCGGACAAGTATCTTGATAGTATAACTGCAGTAACGAATGCATTCCCCTGAGCAGGCCGTGATTAATCCACCATAATCCCTGGGTAAGGTGTGGTGCTAGATGTATTGGGCTAAGGCAAAAAAGAAGGAGTGTCAGAGTGAATTGGGGAAGATTTATCGCTCTTCTGGGGAAGTACTCATACGCAATAGAGAGCGCCCGTGTATTCTCTAGGAGATCCCGAAGTTATACTTGGTATTTCCAACGCTCTGAAAGTGATCATCGGGGGTGTTTTAACCCGACTCAATCTCTCCGTGAGGGTAGGACAACTTTGATTTCTGATATTTCCTCTGCTGTGTGTCTTATAAAACCATTCGTAATATTTGAACGTAATTTATAATGAAATATGTTAAAAGTATAAACATCTAGATATTGGTATTATAAACCAAGTTTTGTCATTAGCAAGAATTGCGATAATCCTAAACATGTATGTTATGTTATAACAAAAGTACTGTTATTATAAAGACAGTGGAAACACTTTCTTTTTATGATAGATTTTATAATGTGGTGTTTTAGTTGTTCGCGTATTACTAAAACAACTTTTGAACGCAAAATATTTTAATTATATCCATTATACGGCGCGCGTCGTAATGCAATGTCACCGTGCACGGTAGTTTGTGCGCTTCAAAATTTCCTGATGATTTGAATGTCCGTATTGTCGCACGAACATTTAAGTGATGCATTCTTTCCGATATAATTTAACCGTAATCAGTGGTGCCCATTGGGCGGTATGTTAACGCAGAGGTCGAGAAGCAACTGCAAGAGGGCGGCTCCTGCGGAATGGCGCAGCCCTTGATGAAGAAGTCCGGCGTGGGCGTGGCCGTGTCGTCGATCGTTATGGCGAGCGACTCGCGCGCGGTGCAGATGCGCCGCCCGACCAACCGCCGCGGCAAACAGGCGCCGACGCCGCCGAAGCGCACCAGGTGAGTGGCCCACCACAACAGGTTTGATCGGTGTAAGCCATAAGCCAACAAGTCTAGTCGGCGTAAACCCAACCCGACAATTTTAGTCGGCTTAAACATAAGCCGACAAGTCAAGTTGGCGTACATCCAAGCTGACAAGTCTAGTGCTAAGAAAACTTGTTCGCTGTACCCGCAACAGAGACTGACAGACCGTTAATGTGTTATGTCGCACGTGGGTTTCATCAAGCATTTTCTTTATTGTAAAGTTGGCCAGCGAGCAGGCGGTTCACCCAATGTCAAGTTATTACCACCACCGTCCATAGACATGTTCCTAATCTGACGGGATGCAGATGCGTTGCTAACCTTTGAAAAGCGGGCCTCTATTACTTTACCAAACGAAGCGCGGTTTTCTGTTAGACCGTGGTACTTCACAGGATGAGCCTGCTCACTCTTGCAACAGCAGAAGCTGCCGCGTGGTCCTACGTATGAAAACATTACCTCAATACCGTTGGGTAACATTTTCAAATCAATATACTTACGATCTGCGTGAATTTAGTTTCAGAGCTGTGTTCCATTTTAGTGTTCGAGAACTTTTGGGCTCCCGTGATAAGTCACGGTGTTGTGGCCTATGAAATAGTTTCATTGGTTATTTCTTCGAGTAATCGTTAGTAGTGCTCTACTGTCCGGCAGCCTGCTGTCCTCGTGCAGCTCCTTCCGCGAGTCGCAGTACGCGGCCGAGGAACACGCCGCACACGACGACGGCCTGGCGTCGCTCAACGGTACGTGCGGGGTGGGCGGGGCGACTTACTGCGCGCGCGCACGCAAAAATACGGGCGCGCGGGGGGGACACTACAACGCTAAAGAAATGCCAAAAAAGCACGTCTACGCGTAACAAGTTATACTTCTTTAGCGCAACAAGAGGGAAATAATATTTTATCCCGTGTGCCAGTACACTTTGCTCGTGAATAAAGAAAAGTAAAATTGACAACGGTTTAATCGAATAACTCGGAATTAAGGGTCAAAGTGAAAGTTCTTATTGGTCGGAGTTGTAAAAATTCACTTTCATCACTATTCGCAAACGCGACAAAAGAAGTATAACTTAAAAAAACTTTAAAACCCTTTACCCCTTGTGGGCCCTAGTAAGCTTAACTGCGTCATTATATTCGTGCAGTCGAAGGTAGTGGGTTAACGAGGGGGAATAAGGAATATGAAAATACAAAATCCATACGATCAGGACTTATATATTTAATGGCTATGGTGCAATACACTTACAATTGAAATATATCTTGAATTATATTTTGTCTGTTTCCAAAAAAATCTACACCAACTTAGGACAAAAACAGACATTAGACCGTTAACCTGTTTGATGTTAATTTAATTAAGTTATACGTAAACAATATTAACAGGCAAGTTCCGGAAATTATATTTTTTTTGCAAAGTACTTACACATGAACCGACAGTAATGGATCTGGTTTTTGCAGTTAGTGTTTAATCCTTAATCGATTTTGTTAATATCCATCGATTACGGTTATAAATAATCATATTACGTCAATTTTCTCCTAAATAATGTTTTTACTAAAGTAGTACAAATTTCAACGCTAAGGATTAGACTATTGGTTGCGTGCTCTGAATGTGCTTAATTATAAATACGTATTTTGTTAGTGCTCCTCTATCAACTGATTTAAATTAGACACGAACACAGGTTAGCATGGCTAAGTTATATGCGTATCCGAGATGCGATTAAATCTGTTAGAATGACAATTTTCGAAAAAATGTCACTATTTACCAAGGAACTTCTTCAACGCACGAATTTGGTTTAATAAGTGTATTAATAATTTGCTTTAATAAGTGTATTAGTAATTTGGTTTAATAACAAATGGCTTCGTCGCTAATATCAATTTTAATAATGGTAACATCTCACGTACTCTTGAAAATTCTTAGATCGCAGGTTTCTTTATTACATTTGCACAATACATTGCCATTTCATTCACGAGATTATCTCTGTGCCTTCACGGAATAAAGATAACGTTGTCTTTTAGTTTCTAGATCTCGCTTACGCTATTGGCTTTATTGTTACAAATTATTATTTAACTTCTGTTATTTTATTTTTCTAGTCATGTTTTGCAATGGCGTATCATGCTCTACGTTAGGCTGTCAATATCGTACTAATGTAAAAACATCGTTTTATATACTTTTATATTGTAAAAGAAACTGCAGTGTTCACGGATTTTCGTGTGATATCGAGAGCACAATATTTTCTCTATATGTGTGTATCTATATATTTTAATTTGAAGTTATATTAAATATATGCATCCTTTTAAACTAGCATTTTTCTGTCTGTTTGTCCGCTCGCTCAGGTGTATAGCGATAGGTTCAAACATTTTGTAAGTATACGACAAATTTCGGGTAGAGACGATCCTATACTGTTATCTGTATTGATATTTCTTTTCGTGCAAGTTTTTTCAGTGAATAGATTTTGAATAAATATTTTTCACTAATACAATTCTAAATGTTTGTTTATAATGTTAATTAGATCAAAATAATTAGATAACGGCAACACGTCCGTTCAGAATGCGTACTTGTTGATATTTCATAATTATTGATGAGCGGACGTCATAATGCTTTTTGCTTGAAAGCCTAGATTAATTATTATAAACATTCCTTTCCTACTAACATTAAGTTGGTGACGCATATCTTATCACATTTAACGAAATTCTGCATATGGTGTAGATATACAGTGTAAAACAAATGAAAAGACATTCTTTGTTTTTTTTCGGATTCGTCGTAGCTAAAGAAACGATATGCGTCAAACGGTAAACGACGAAGAGACCATCGGATTTGAAATTATCATGATTAGTTGGAAGAGAAGTAATTTTCTTCATTTTTTTTCGGGGTAGTACTCTATTGGTGTGGTTTGCCCGTATTGTCCCGCGTTCTAGACAGACGTGTGTGCCATATACCCCGCGCAACACAACTCCATCGCGGCCCATATTATCATAATTTACCGATCATTCATTCATTCATTCTCCATATTGGTGATCGTAAATGACATCTGCCTGTACCTTTGATTACATTTTGTTTTATACGATCGCTCTTTTTACGATACTTTTATACGATACGTAGCTCCTGGGGCCCTAATTAGACGAACAGGCGTTAACTCTAAAGGCCCATTTACATGGTGCCAGTTTCTTGCCTGTTGTATACAATTAAATTGAAGCAATAAATGAGTTGCATGGTCTAAACAACACATAACATTCTTGACTTTGAACAAGACTTGCTTCAAGTTTTGTTTCAAAACTTTCCTTGGTGTAAACAGCACACACAATAATTTCTCAAGCAATTCTTGTATTAAATTGCATTCTCTCTTCCTTTGCAAAAATTAGTGCAACGAGTGAGGGTATTTAATCGTTGCTGTTCTTTTGAGGATAGAAATATTGAGAAAAAGTCGTAAAAAAAGTTGGATAAAAATATGAATAATAATATATGGATCATAATAAATAAATCTCAATGAAATATATTTAATCGGCATAATCTAATTTCAACACTTATTATTGAGTCATTTTTTTTTAAAAAATAGCCCTTTGTAAAACGTTCAACACTTGCATGTAAAATTTGTCAACGCAAATACGTGCAATACTTGAAGCAACACGCCAATGAATTGTACACGCACATACAAGCATGTGTTTAGACAAGTCAAAACTTGAAAGCAATAATCGCCTAAACATAATTGCATTGGTGTAAACAAAAGACATTTGCAATTATTTCTTGTCAAGACTTGCATTCAATAATCGCATTCAATTTTTTGTACTATATCGGCGTGTAAACTGTTGCTTACAATTCTTGATGGTCAATTATTGCGTGCAACTTATTGCATTCAATTATTGCTCTTGTATGTACAAGAAAATGGCATCGTGTAAATGGGCCTTAATACTATAATCGATTTTATTGCTCGCGGTAGGTTGAGTATTATTTTTAATTTAAATCTTACTATGCATAAGTAGGTATTCGACGATAATTCCCAGAGATAATTGTACAGTCTGGATTTAAATGCCTACAGAATTTATATCCGTAGTTAAAATTCACTTATTTCAGACGACCAAGAAAGGTGATGTTAACAAACTTAGAAGTCAAAATAAATGTTTTACTTTATTGACGCCAACACTGCGTATTGTCTTGAGATATGTATAATAATGGCCTTTTATAGTTTTCACAGTTTTAGATACTATGTTTTAGGAACTTAGTTAATTAATATTTCTATTCGATTTGAATGAATGACTGCAGAAAAATGTTGTTCAATGCTTTTTATATATTTAAAATATTAAACTATACGTTATTGTATTACTAACGGAAATAAAAAAGATAGTAAAATGTGCTAAGGGCTCGCTGCGAATCGTGTTGCGTGGAAATTTACTATGTTCCTTTGTGTCGTCACCCTAGAGGCCGCTTGACGTTCCGTGTAATGAATGCATCCTCTCTTTTTGTCTATTTTAGATGCGTGATTAAATACAATTTTTAATTTCCTCTTCCCTCCTAATATTTCCATCGAAGCTTAAATTATTTTATTGCAATGTCGGTATAATTATTATTAGTATACGTCTAGCTTTGTCTATTTTTTCTGTTCTACATAAAATAATATTAAATATAATGTAAAAATAACATGTGTCTTTTAAAATTATTAAATAGCATAGGTGTAAAAAACAAACAAAAAAAAAACAATAATTTAATTTAAGTTAATTTTAATGTAATCATCGTATGCGCTAAGCTGCAGTGTACTACTCATGAAGTAAATTGAACTGTATATAACTGAAACATATTATATAGTTATGTCACTATTAGCATGTGACACTGCTAATGAAAATTTCATATGAAACTAATTTTGTGTTGAACGAAGTCCGAAGCTGTCAATCGGATGTCATCGCTGACCTGCACTAGGTGGGGGCCGCGGTGGGGGTCGTGAGGCGTCTTCGGAGGGCTCGTTGGCCGAGGCAACCCCCGACACTGACGAGTCTGCGGGCGCTGTGGGGGGCTGCCTCCCCACCGACCACCGCCACCGACCCAAGAGGCGTCACCACCAACACGCCCAGCCGCAGCACCCCGCCGCGCACGAGCTGCAGCCCAAGGTCTATTCAAATTTGTCTGCGGGAAACCGCGAGGAAAAGTGATCGGCGAGAACGCGCTTGCAAATGTAATGCGATCATGTTATACATCGCTCGTATCAATTGCATAAGATTTGGTAAACTCCAACAGCTCGCAGAAGTACGTCGATTTCCTTTAAGGATGATTCGCTACATTGTTGTTACTTTAACAACTAAGTAGTTTGTATGGACCGCCTTAGGGTAAAATAGTTAATTAAATAGATACATATAAAGTAATATAAACTAAGACGTTGTTTAAATTTCTTTACGCATTTTAGGCAGCGGGTTAACTATTGCGTTAGGAATTAAAATTTAGTATAAACGTGATAACATCTTTAAAATGTATGTATATATTCTTCTTATTCAAGTAACGGTAATAGTGCAGCAGAAATTCCAAGTTAACAAATCAATTTTGAATACTATATCTGTATATGTATGACTTATTACAGCAAGGGGTACAGGTAGCCGCGCTCGAAGTACAGAACGTGAAGCGCGCGATCAACCGCTACGGCACTTTGCCGAAGGGCGCCCGCATCGGCGCCTACTTGGAGTCGCTGCGGCAGAGCGGCGGGGGCGCGGGCGCATCTGCGTGCGCGCCGGTTCCCCGCGACGTGCCCCAGGACGAGGCGCGCTCCCTGTCGCCGAGGACCGCCCGCGCCCAGCCCCACATGATCCGCTCCAACTCGTCGGGCGGCGTCACCGCCCCCGCCCCCGCCTCGCCCCGCGCCTCCAGGGCCGCGCACCCGCTGCGCTCCTTCAACAGCCCCGCCAAGCCGCGGCCGCGCCTCGCCGAGCTGGAGTTCCCGCCCCCGCCGCCCGACCTGCCGCCACCGCCCGAAGACACGGCGCAACCCCCGCCCCCGCCACCGCCCCCGGAGTGCTGCCGCGACGCCGGCACCGACACGGCGGACCACCCGGACGACTGCCATGCCCTTGCGCCGGAGCGCACCGACATGGACGAGAAACCCGCCAAACAGATCATGAAGGAAATGCTCGAGCTGAAACTTGTAGCGGAGATAAAGGAGCGCGCCGACAAAAAGAAACAGAAGCTGAAAGAGTCACCGCCACCTAACGATGTCATTGAGATGCAAACCTCTTTCGGGGATCCCGTCACGCGATTAGTTTCCGAACTCTCTGAGAGCCTGAATATGGAAGCCCTGCGTAAGGCGGACAAGAGAGCTGAGCCGAAAGTAGCCGATAATGGCAAGGAGACCGTGTCTCCGATTGACCTAAAAGCAAGCCTAAGAAAAACTTCCTATAGTAATAACATCGAAAAGAAAACTGACCCCGATATTAAAGCTAATACTAACTTTAAATCCCAGCTGAAGAAAGTGGAAACCAACAAATTCAACAACGCTAGCAAGGAACCTGAAGAGTTGGGCAGATCGATCATTGATTTCAAGTCGCGCTTGCGGAAAGTTGACAGCGGAACACCGTCGACAAACGGTACTGTAAAGAAGGTAGAACAAAGCTCTCCGGAAGACTCCCGAAAGGACGTGTCCAGCAAGAGTGATGATTCCGATAAGAAGCGCTCTGAGAGCGGTTCGCTGGACACGAGCGGAGGTGATGAGGAAGATAAGAGACGTAGTACAGGCAGCATCAGCAGCCTTAAGAAGTTATGGGAGAGCAAGGAGAATGATGATCGATTGAGCCCTAAAATGCGACCGAAGGGCGAGGAAAGTGAGGACGCGTCTCCAGAAGAACGTGGGAGTGGACTAGGTCGCAGTGTCAGTGTTGCCCGTCGTGATGATAAGCCGGCCGTGGCCAATAAGCCTTCGGTTAGGGCTCGGCCATTGGGCAAAGGGGGGATATACGCAACGCCCTTGGCAGCGTCTGCTGGCGAAGCCGATACTGATGGGGACGCCCTCGCCGCCCTGCGCGCTTCTCTGGAGTGGTGCACGAACGAGGTATGTTCAACTTTACGATGCTGTGTTTAATCATGGAGAGTGGGATGTTTTACACAGTTTAACTATTACTAGCATCACGAAAGGAAATTAATAAATAAATTGTTGGTCATCCTCATAACCAAACTTAAGTGGCGGAACGTTACAACTCGTATTGTTATTCTTTTTTAATGCTACGTACATCTAAACAACAAATAGTCAACTCGTCTCCCGAGGGCCCTTTTATTGAAGAGTTTATCGAGAAAACTCGTTCGTTACAAGCTTGATCAATACTGCTGCTACCTCTTAGTTGCAAAAAAAATGTGTTTTCTTTAATACAGTTGAATATGTACTTTTCCTTAACCGTCAATATTCGTGCGCCTCGTGTGCGTCGCGTGCACAACTCCGCTGGTCGAGTTAGACGCGACCAGCGGCGTTGTCACGCTCTTGGTAATGGCTGGGGACGAGGGATGGCAGGGGAGGGAGGGCGATCCTGTGTTGAGGATGGCTGGGGGATAGTAGGGGTAGCGGGAATGGGGGGGAGGGCGAGATCATCTGGAACGTTTTGCCCCGTCGAGTTTGTTGACAAGGGAGTAGGGGGTGGAGATAATCTCGAGTCTCGTGCGTTGCAGGTGCGGCGCGGCTGCGGCGGCGGCGGCGGGCGCGGCTCCCTCTGGCGGCTGCAGACGTCCGAGCGGCTCGCGCAGCTGGGCGCGGCGTGCGCGGCGTGCGCGGCCGGCGGCAGGGCGCCGCAGCTGCGCGTGCAGCTGCGCGCCGCGGCCGCCCGCCTCGAGGCGGAGGCGCGCGCGCTCGCCTCGCCGCAGCCCCACCACCACCACCTCGCCGACGGCGTCGAGCAGGCGCTGCGCGACCTCGCCGCCATCGTGCACAGGTGAGAAGCACCGCAGGCCGACCCTACTGTCAGATCTAATCGTTTGTTCATCGATTTAACGGTGTACATTTCATCAATCGATAGTATTTTTTTTAAATATACCACCTGCCGAAGGAAACTCCGTGTGTGTCCTCTTTTTGTAGTTTTTTTTTCTTAGAAATATTATATTAGTAAAGAAATTCTGGACGAACAAATCTAAACTTTACATGCATCACGAGCGTCAGATAAAAGGCTAAAACGTCCTATACAATTAAGACGTTATCGGTACATCCAAATAATCAACATCAATAACGTGGTGTATTTATTCAAGTTGGTTTAGTTATTCACCGAAAGAAATATGGAAGTGAACTCGTAAATGTGGCCAAAAAAGCAGCTCAATGACAATTTCCATAATTTGAAATTAATGCGACAATTTTAATTGATTCCAGATAAACACCCACTGCATATCCTACCACCCTCACTAACACCATAGTGACGGAGCCAAGCGAAATTCCGTTACGCTGGAAGCTATCGAAAGGCGAGCGCCACATCACTGCGCAAGCACTGGCAAAAGTCGATATTGTTTATATATTCAACACATCACTATACATTCTATCAACAATTCAATCCAAAGCACCACTTTTACAATTGTAACAAAAGAAGTGGAACATATTTTTTTTTGTAATTTTACCATTGTACTTCTTCTACGTTTATTTTTAAATATCACTAACATCTTTATCGCAATCGTTTTTTAGGTAGTTAACTTTTTTGAACAAACAAAAACAAATAGTTTAATGATCAATGATCAACTTACACAAATAATTTTAAGCCAAAGATGACGACATCCATTGATATCAGTACCAACCTTCTCGAAGGAGGTCCCATTTCCGCCAAGTTTACCAGCGAATACTCTCAGCTTAGGTTCTAGTTGTGTAAGTTTAATATCAACAATAATGTGTTGCAATATTAGTACAAAAATTGGAGACGTTATTGTGTAGTCACAAAAATATATATCGATCATGAAAAGAAATTAATTACTGGCAAGTACAACGCTATTACCCGGATTGTTCATTGTACAAATATTATTTATATTGTATTACTATAATCGTGTAATAGAATTGAATCAAACACGTTTCCTTATATATGTAAAGACTGACTGATTGGGATTGGATGAGCGAGCACACATGTTCGTTTGTGTACGAAATAGGTACGTGCGTCAGTGATACTCACCATTAGCTCAGGTATGCGTTTCTAAGTAGGCTGTAGAGATAAAAACATTGTAACTTACATATTTGTAGAGAACGCACTCCAATAGTTCCGTAGTTTAATTTTCATTCCTATACTAACTTGTTCTATACATTGGCATATTGATGTCTGTATATTTTCCAGTGCCAAAAAAAATGTATTAAGGCGGCGTTGAATGTTAAGTTGACCAAGGTAGCAAGTGATGTTCGCTACGGCACACATTACAATAATTACCTATCAATTTTGAGCATTATAGGTACATCTCTAATTTTCGTGTGAGTTTTAAATACACCAAATTATATACGCATCAGTGTATTATAATATTAACTTTTAATTTAATTCATGCTATTCAATTACTGTTAAGTGTGTAGTGTGTAAGTTACGCATGCCTTATAAATGCTTATTCTATTCTTTACATTAAGATAAGAATACATTAGCGTATATTTGGCTTACTATCCGATTACTATATTGTAGATTTATGTTCGGGACGTATTTGTTATAACAATAACTTCAATATTGGTTATCAGTCAAGTCTTCTCTTGGAAGTGATAACTGATACTAGATCCTTTCATCTACTTAAATGTGTCATACACTCACAAACTCATTGATAAGCATTTAACTCGTATAGTGATAACCTAAGTGTTGTAGGAGGCTTCTTCGACTCGGACCAATAGCGACGCATTTCTTTTGTATGGGGTCGAGAGAAGCCCGTAGAAGCGTTTCGCTTGGGTCAAGACTGTTCTCTTTCTTATAGATTATTTTGTTTGATTTAGGCCTATTCTGCAAGGATTCTATGAATTTGATGAATTATAATTCATGTTATGTATACTAATGACTCACGGATGGCCTTCTTTCCATTGGTTGAACGATGGTTCAAACAATCACTCGCATCCCGGTCGCTCTTATGTTCACTTATAATTTATGAATAATGAAGTTCTCTATGTGACATTATTGTTTAAATTAGCGTACTGTGATACGGCTTTTAGGAATCGGTATAATTATGCTCAATATTTTTCTTTTTTATTTTAAGATTATTGTTATAAGTAACGATGGAAAAATAAGGTATTTTAATAAATAACTATATAATTATGTACGACCGAGTAGTATTGGTCCCTTTATATTGAATAATATTTCAGATTAACACTGATGTATGCTAGTCTTTATTATTATGATTATAATAAATGTATTTCATTGTAAGAATGAAACTATACGTAAGCTCTTTAAAATAGGTATGCGTACAATCTTTAAAACAATTTCAGTAATTATTGTATCGAATGTAAGGATTTTTTTGATGTAAGTCAAAGGAGGGTGTCATTAAGTTGTCTATACCTAGATTCACCAACTTGCATATACTCTCCTGTGAGACTGCGTAGATACGCCTTTGAGCGGCCGCGTTTGACCTAGGCCTTTATGACTCATTGCGTATCATAGTAGTAGCGCACTCTGAAAACGGATGCTCAAGTTGGAACGAATTTATCAAGGTGCGAGACGGGTGCTCTGCTGAGAGCCCTGGGCAGTGGCGTGCGTGTTGTTCTTATATAGAGCCATATACAGAGCCAACACGGCCGTAATTGTATCCCAGTGATGACTGGTACTGAAAGACGGAAGAGATTATTTATTTTATTAGTAATTTATACTAAGGAGACGGTCAATTCGCCCATCAGTGCCGAGGGCTCTTCACAATCTAGTCACGCGGAGTAATAAAAGTAAAATAGCCGTGAGAGATGGGCTGCGTTCAGAGTGTTCGTGAACATATTTCAGTTTGTGTCTATTATATTATTATGCATGGAATTCTGCTTAATTGTTCATAAGAGCTAAGTGTGACAATACTCTTATCGAATATTTACAAACATATTCAGCTCTTTTGGTGTTGTCGTGAGATTAATATGGCTCTTTAAGTTCTCTCCCGAATATTTTAATGGGAGAAGTCGATGTGGCTTCCATATGCTATATCGCAAGTATAACACTTGTAATTCTTGCACCCTCACATAAATATACACGTTTCCTATCTCCTGCTTGCAATTCAGAAGTTCCGACCGCAATCCCCTCATTTACTTTATGATTGTTAGTTAATAAAATCCAAAGATAGAAATCGAATACATGCAGATATCCTACTGTAATGGAAATAAAATGTTTTCTTTATGATGGTGTTGTTATTATTTATCCTGATTACTAACCGTATAAATTATTAAGATATGAGCCAGTGCATTTATATATTATTAGATATTTATATTCTACAAGAAAGTATTCTACTTAATTAATGTAAAGACATTGATTAAGCAGGTCCTACCTTTAACAGATGTCTAACCATGACGCATTCGATTCTAATAGTCATATCACAGTGGAATTCGCAATTTCCACGGTGACATGTTAACGCAGGGGTGTTGTGTTTCTTGTTGCACCGTGCACGGATGGGCAGCGTTGTTCGGGGTACACAGCCTAATACAAGACAGGTACCGTATAAAGTGGAAGTTTATACCAGTCTTGCAAGTATTAATTCTATTTCGACTGGCGACTAACAGGTTGCGGCAGAGATTTTTTTTTTATCTTCTATACTAAGAGCGTTACGACAATGCACACTATCAGATTTTTGAACCGATTTTATAACACTGTTATGAGTAATTTTAAATCTTAACATTATGCAACTGAAGCTGTTTCTGTTAAATAACTATGATATCGTCATTGTTCATATTTGTTTCGAAAATAACACGTAAACATAAAATTTATTTATTGTTTACAATAATTCGTTTTTCTTAAGAATAATTTGACAACAAAAGAATGCGTATTAATAAATTTAACAATATTATAAAACGGACGCAAAATTGTCCCTACCACGTTACTAGTAGAAGAGGGCAGGGGGTATTTTTTTCTTTCAATAGGCTAGCCACGCGTATGTATTCTGTACTTCTTTGTGTTTTTGTGTAATGTTCGTTAAATAGTTTTGTAGATACTTTGAAATTTTGTTGTTTTGGAAATTTTACCCATTTATTAAGCAAATTAACACTCCTTCGGATGTCAGATGCGAAAAGTGTCGCACAGTTTAGTGTTTCCCATAGTGGTAGTGATATTGAACAGCTTCAATTCTGAAGGCAATTCTGATAACAAAGGTCAACATAAAAGAAACCTACTTTATTACAACAAATTTGTTTCTCTGAGAAATATACCTATATAGTAAATACATAAAACATACCAATGGTGTTTTAATAAAAAATAGTGAACCGACGATTTTTTTTCTTTGCATCTTTTAATTTTTAATCTTTTCGGAATAAAGAAAATTAAAAAGATATGTTTATTTTCATTGTAAATCAATGTCCCGTTTCGAGTTAGAAAAAGTGTTTAGTTATGACCGAGGTCAAGAAAGCACTTTCGTTGGTCGCACTGTGGTGGTAGGCTTGAAATTAATTTTCTAATGGCTGCATTACAAGTACAAGAGTACATGAAATAATTTATTTATTTTATTAGTATTTTAATTAGTATTATTTAGTAAAAAAATTGTTTAAAAATCAACAATACCTGCTGTGTTGTTGATTTTTAAACAATTTTTTTTGCCCCGCGTACCTTACAGACGTCGTCCCGTTAGCTGGGTTGAAATCGTAGTGTTGAAATGTTTCATTTGTGGTCAAAATTAAACAAATTAAAAATGGTGTAGAGCTTTAATTATTATTAATAAATAATACATAACATCATGCAAACTTTTGAAAACAACATACAATGCATATCATTCAGTTATTTTATATGAGTTAATATAACGGTTAAATTGTACCGTACACAAACAGGTTTAATGTCAATTTAGAAGACAGTTTTGCTACTGGGGGCAAAGGCTAATAATAAGTAATCATTTATAATTTTCACAAGTGGTACGTAGCAAATGCGTTACACTAACAGTATATTTACTATTGGATATATGTATCAGTATTTATTTTATGTATCTTCAATGTGTTTCTTCAAAAAAAAAAAAATTAATTTAATGTGAGTGCCTTAATCGGATGGACAGTTACAGAGAGTAAATAAAATTATTTTCATTAAAATGAATCTCAGTGATTGTAATTTTACGACACGCTTTCGATACAAATTTTCAATCTCACAACAGCTACTTATGTATATCGCAAGTCTAGAAGACTAGAAAAAAACATTCACGCATTTAGCAGACATAGGCGGATTAAAAATGGAAGTTAGAAGATTATTTTTTTTTCTTGGAAAATTTAAAGTTAAGGCTTTCATAAATTGATTCATTTTATTGTCATTATTAACCAAAAAAATATCGGAATACAGATTACAAAACAGTTATAACTTCATAAAAAAAAGGGTTTACAATAGACTAACAGACAGTACGAGGTAGCTAGTGTCGACCATTCATATTATATTGCATGAAAGGCTTAGGCTATAAAGCCATCACTAATATACCACAAAAAAGCCCTGCCAATATCATGTAACTATGTGTGAGGATATTTCCAGCTCAGCTATAACATTTTTCTTGGCATCGTTAAATTAGTGTACACAAAAGACTTTTTATGTTTTAATTATTAAAATTTGTGAGTAACTAAAAAACTCATCCTATCGAGAGTATCCCATAGGTAAATCGTGAAAAACTTAATCATATTTTATAGATATGTAGTTTTAAAAAAAACGTTTTCTGTGTTTTATGTATCCTAAATAGTATGTTTAATCATATGGCATAATTATGTAGTTAATCGTTAGTGCAGAAAAATAAAATAGCAAGATATCTTCAATGTGTGATTTGTGAATCTCAACAATAATTTACTTACATAGTTCAGTTTTAATATATTATTGTGATGTATGTACTTTGCATGATGGTATGACTTATACAATTTAGTTCCGTACCAAAACGGTAGTGGCTAAAGAAGCTCCCAAAACCAAAGTAACGCCATAAGGTTACTTTTAAAATAAATTTAGATACAAAAGCTATTGGGCAGAACTTATCCAATATCTATGAGGAATCTTATCTGCCAATCTATTTATCACCCTGTGTTGATTAACCACAGAAAAAAAAGGCGGGAGAAGGCTAATACATATGAGAGGTGTTAATATGTGTACCATCTTATTAACCGATAAAAGTTGTTAAACCGATAAAAATGTACATAAACGTTTTTGTTAAAGCAAAACGCCCTTAGTTTTTAACATCACAATAGAAATAATGTTAAGACCCGCCCGTGTACGTTACTAGCATTATTCGAATGATTCTGTATTAACACAAACAGGGCTGTCAATTGCTTCGTTTGACTTGGAAAACCCACCCTTAATACTTTATGAACTAAAAGTTGGATGGAAAGCACATTGACGTACAAACATTTTAAGATAATTTACAACAATAAATAATTTTAGAAATGTGACAGCAAAAATTGGTATAAGGTATGTTCTGAAGTTATACTATAATTTTATCGTCTTAGGCAGTCTAAGCTATGCAACAAATCTTTCCGTATTGCTGCCTTGATAAAGCGTAAACAAGCATCCACATTGAATATAACTGTTACATTCCGTTACATTAATACGACGTATGTATTTAAGGTTACAATACGAAAGTGATGGCGAAAATCAAAAATAAGATAAGCTCGGGCGAAGCTATGACTCCCTATGAATACCCAACCCCTCTACGCATAGGTGCGCCCGAAGCTATGAGGGGGCAGGGGGGGGGGGGGGGAGGGAGGGGTGATTTACCAAAGCTTGTTGTGATAGAATTTAACGTCGAAAAAGCCGCGGTCGGTAAGTTGAGAATCGCGGCGGGAAATAGTGGAGCCGGCCGGAGAAAGTATGGGCACCGGCGAATCCGTAATGGGCTCCACGCTCAGGGTAGAAGGGCGCTCGGGGCTCTTGGAATCTCCAGTCTCGGGCTCGGCATCCTCCTTGGGCTGAGGCCCAGCGGCGTCCTCTTGGGCCTTGGGGCCTTCCTGCGCGGTTTCTACCTCTGGGGTGGCCGGTTTCGAAGCGCTCCTTCACATTTTTATCACGATTGAAATCATTGCGCGTTCCAACTCCCCAATACTTCCTCGTGCATTTCAAAATTATTAAAATTTGCAATAGCATCAAAATGCATCATTCTTATGGAGTATTTAAAACACGGTTTTTATATTACAACCTTTCACGGTCACAATATAAATATGCGTATTTAGGAATTTGGCTGTGATGTCAACATCTTAAATCATCAAAGAGGCATATATATCGTTTCTCCTCAACGATAATAAACTTTTTTTTGTTGATTATTAAGTTCTTAAGATACAGAATTAAAAATTTCAATACATCTTTCGTCGCATTTCATGTATTTGGTACATACAGCATAATTTACACTATAAAACAATCTTTGTTGTATATAAAAATCATAAATTAAAAAAAAAAACATAAAAAGCAAAACAAAATAATTATCACAGTGCATTGTTATAAAAATAATTTTTGTGTCTTTTAAATATAAATTTTATTTAAATTAATACGATAGCTATAAATTACAAAGTCTGCAAAGCCACGGAAACTCTCGTTATTATGCCCAAAAAGAATAGAAACGGAAAAATTTCCATAGAAGAGGTTCTGAACTTAGCTAATACCGAGAGATATCCGTTGGCGAGACGTACGCACACTGATATTTTAAAACTACTTATGTACAACACAATGCATTCATAAAAGCCACGCCCTCTTAATATGCATGTTTAATAAATATCTTTTTTTTTAGTTATAACAGCTCAAAAACAAGGATTTATGGAAATTTATAAAATGTATTTGATTATACGATATACAAAATTGTAAATTGCCTCAGAACATCAGGTTCACACAATGACTTTCTATACACAAGGACATAGCATCCGCGCTATTAATGGAATAACGGAACACTTTCGCCCTTAGCCATGTTTCAATCGCAAAGCCGTGAGGATACCTAATTGTGCCATGAAAGTGTTTAAACAATACGTCAACTGTTAGGTTAATTTACCTGAAAGATTAATGTGCAAAAAGTAAAGAATGTAGTTAAATACTTTTCCCCGTTTACACATTATACACGTTTTCCCATTTCTCTGCCTCTCAGGAGTGAGAGTGAGAAAGTACCGAAAGGACGCGACCAGTAAGAAATAAAAATAATAGTCACCATTTTTTTTCAGAAGATATTATTTTTACCACGGTACCATTTATACTATTTACTTTATAAAGGTATTTAAAGTCACACAGCGAAATTTATCCTAATTCATAGGAAAATTATTGGTTGGATATGATAATACTAACGTCCAGTGAATACGAAGATATTAATTCGAGAAAACCAATATATATATATAATTTTTAAAAGAACCGACTTCAAAAAACTCTATTAGCACTAAAAGTTTATAATAAAACTAATATAGTAAAATTTTGAAAATCTAACCTCTAACAAAATTTAACAATTTTTGGGGTCTCCATATGACGGAATCGTCTCCATATTACGTACATCACTTGTATGAGCGCAATTATATAATCGAAGAGGTTGAAACAAAGTAAATTCTAAAGAAATGAAGTGACTGAAGCGAATGCCCCAGTGTGTATAGGTATAGCGGTCGGAACTTAATATGGTGAAACTGGCAGAGTGTGCCATCTTTGGGCTTTGTTTTTGTATAGGGAGATTTGTCTATGTGTATAGAAAATCATTCGGCTCAGATGATAAGGCCCCGATTTAGGTCCAGTACATGCTTTTTTAACAAGAAATTGAATTTATTTATGTTTTACTAAATATTGAAAAAAAAAAATGAAAGTACGTAAACGATACATAATTTTTAAAAAATAATACAAACTGTTATAAACTAATGGCTGCTAATTAATATGATGCAGTATAGTAATAACTTAAATAGGGTATCTGCCTTTAGTGCCAAAGGAAATAATTTGAGCTGATTTAGTTTTCTTAACGAGGATATATATTAATTGAGACATATTAATATAAATAATAACATATATTATAATTATGACAAAAAATCCTTTGTATATATGCGTGCATAGTGAGTGCAAATCCCATTTAGAAGGTGTGTTAAAGTGCGTGCATTTACATTATTTAGCGAAATAATAAAAAAGTTTTGCAGAGTAAAAATACCATTCTAAAGCAATGACAACAATCTGGATGGCAAATAATATTGGCTATAATATTAAAATATGTTACAAATAGCAAGAGTTCGCTACCATCCCACATCTCGTTTAAGAGTTAAGATAGGAGATTGCGACTATGTGGCCATTATAAATGTAAATACATTTATATATATAGAACCGTAACAAAACATAATTTGAAACGGTTTTTAAATGAAATTAGTTTTGAAATTAAATTATTTTTGCTATTTCGAAAATGAGTCGACCTATCCATAACCACAAACATGAACTCAAACACCCATGCTCTGAAAACTATTGGTGGGAGGGCCATCATAATCGGCGCCATATTTGCCGTCAACGAGTTTATTATTATTTTAACATTAATTTAGTATTATTTTATACTCAAAAGAGATACTTACGATGGGATACTGCCAAAACCTGCGTGCGTCCATATGTAAAAACGACTTGTGCATAATATAAGCAAATCATTACTAGGAAACACATTTCTTAAACATTATAGGGTCAAGACTAATAACATAATATCGGCAATAGATAATTTCGCCGAAAGGTGATTTTCTGTGTCATTTTTCTGAACGGATCAAAAATTTCTGATGTTGCATGTTTCTGATGTTAATCCTTGTGGCCAACTTTTGAAAGGCTATAATTTCGTGCATTGGCGTTCAATCGTTCTTTTACGTGTCAAGTAAACCATAATCCATAAATTTAATGGAGATCAACTCTTAGCTAATTAGAATGTGCTGCATGAATAATTTAAGTGCGGCTATAACCTTAACATGTAAATATTACATTTGAGCGAAAATTTAATAGAAAAAGCAAGATCAAAAACGTAGTAAATACTTCTAAATGAAAAGGCAAATACCCTATTGTTTGAAATAAAAATTAGAATTTTAGAAAACATTTAAACAATTTTAACATTGTCATTCTTACTCGAACGGATAAACGCTTCCTATCTATTGCAATTAGTATAATTAGGTTAATTATATTGCTCAGTTCGCACAAAGAGAACTTTTAGACTAATATAATTATGTACTTCTATAGATAGTGGGACCATCTTGATGGAGACACGGCTTGATTAACACTATTTTGAACAGAGTTCGAAAAGGACTATGTTTGCTACCTCAGATCTCGGTCAACGTGGAAAATTCTTTTTTTTATTGGAATGGATATATTTTCGAGGGTAATTTAGTCGGCATTGGACCAAGGATTTCGCAGATACACAACGGAACTCATCAAAATCTAATAGGAAATGTTGTGTAATAGGAAAGTGTAGTGAGAAAAGTATTTGAGGTCGGTTTTGGTTTTTGTTTATATATTTTTTTGTCAATAAATTACTGTTAATTGCAACAAATACAGAATGAATTAATATGAATTGTAATATTTACGTTCAAGTAGATTATAATTTTTAATGCTACAGAAAAAATATTAAGTTGGCAATGATATTCATAATTTACTAAAATTACGGCTATAAATCTCTTGACATGATTATATTCCTTGAACAATTGAAGAGTGCTCTCGTTAAAATTACTGTACAATTAAACAGTGGTAAAACAGTACCACAACAATATTTTTATTACAATATCTGAACACCAATGACCTTGTGTTAGTCTATGTATTATTTGTTACACGTTGAGAGGCTGTCGACAGTTCTGGTATTAAATAACTGTTCTAAAGAGTCGACACGTGTAGAGGAGAGTGTACATATTTCTCAAACGATATAAAGATTCCTAAATATAGACAACAAAATTTAATAAACGTGCACTTTAGCGTCTGTTCGTACTACGATAGACGGCAATACATTAACAACAATAAATTAGCTAAATTTGTGTTGCCTTTGGACGATTAATTTGTATTAATACAGACTGTTGACCATATAGTACGTACGTATAAAGCTAACTTTACAATTTGTTCAAAGATAGTGCGAAATAATAAAAACGCAAATAAATCAAATGGAACAGAGGCCGCGTTGTGTTGGCGTTGCGTCGCCGCGTCAGTACAAGTTCATTGCTCTGCAGGATTTATAACTGAAATGTAACCAAATGAACGTAAAAATAAAACACAAAATAGCGGTAAAAGCAAACAACGAGATCTTTGATGCGGAATGGGAAATATGTACTGAGTCTTGGTGGCAAGTTAAAAACAGTGACAGTTCTCGCCGAATGTGCAATCCATTTACTCACCCATTGCGTGATTCTTGCTCGCAGTAAGAGCCGCCGCCGTGTATAACCTGCAATGTAACAGCGACACCATCAGAGTTTCTTTCACGAGGTAAAAAAAAAAACTAAGTGCAACGGACCGTGGCGCGGTTATGTCCAACCCTCGAAATAGCCTCTGTTAAAGTGGACGAAGACTTTTACTATTTTGCGGTTGACGCTTTGGGAGTTTTTCGTGCGACAGACCGCAGACAGTTTGGTATAAATATTTATAGAAACTCGATGATTGATCGAAGAGTTATAAAAGTGCATACGTCGACCATAAGTTAAAAGAGTAGAAGTGTCGACCATCTTGTTAGTATCATCGATTGTTGGTTATAAATTCGGATTATAATCGAACTTTACCCCAGGCGTCGCCCGCGTAATTTATATGGAAACAAAATCGCTGATGTTAACATGATCACAAGTATAATAATTATGTGAATTAGAGCGGCTCAAAAGGCAACTCCAGTTCAAATTCGCACCGCAAGGAGAAAACGACACGAAATTCAACATCTACATTATTCAGTGCGATTACTAATCGATTGCATCTGATTTAACGCTTATTAAAAAACTGTCCGTAAACGGGAGACTCGTATTCAAGAACATCTCGAAATTCTTATTTCGAGATGTTCGTGAATCGTACTCTTGTACATGTGGGGCTATTAGTAAGGAGAATATGGTGCTTTGCTTAACGCGTCGAGCTGGTACATTGGTTTTAAGATTGAACAGTCATTTGTCATAACGAACTTTACCGATTTAGCTACTTCTATCTAATCTACTCACCATGCCAATAGCTGAAGGTGGCTTCGGAGCAGCGAAGCGGCCCAGGGCCGGCGCCACTACGGGGGTACTCCTTCCGGACTTTGCGCTGTATAAAATTACAAAGCGAAATCCATTACGAGCGGGGCGGTGATAACTAGCGGTTCACGGATTATGTCGTAAGTAACTTTTCAATGAGTCGAAACAATTTATTTCAAAACAAAATTGTGAAAAGCAGTTGAACGGCGTATAGAAACGTGACTGCTTACATTAAAGGTCACGACCTTAGCCACTCGCCCCGAAATGCACCGAATACCGAAGTAATCGTTACTCTTTAAGGCTTCTGATACGCGATTAAGTCTACTACGATTGTTTCCACTAGCGTTCCTTCAATCGTGTAAAAATTTATATAAAGATCTCCGTGTAGTGATAAAATATGAGTGTTTTATTTGAGATGCGGTTACAGTAGAAACTATTATTTTAAAGTATACTTATAACTATTATTAAGTTCATTTTTATCTTCTTGATTATCTAGGATCATCATCCTACCTTCGATCCCCCGGTATGAAAGAGGATCGCGTAGCATCGTATGCGGGGCAATCAGCCAGCTAATTTCCCTTCGCCAAGCCACTTACTTGATTTCAGATGCGCCCGCGAAGAATTGCGGAGCGACGGCGAAGTTATTGTTCTGCCTCAGCAGTCGCTCGATGCCGTAGTTCTTGTTCAGGAACTGCTCCATCTTCGGTGACGGCCCGTCAATCGCCAGCTCGTGGGCTGACGTCTCCATGTCCTTTATTGTTCCGTGCCAATCAGTTAATGTTAGTCGTTCCATCAGCTTTAGACTACGTTGAATGGAATATATGGCCGTTTGCTCGCTATGGTCTTGCGGCTTTTTACCGGATTTAACAGTTACAAACTGCATGGGGATTAGCCATAGGAAACGCTATATGAATCGACCAGAACTTTCTCTCCGTTTACAACCACAGCTTCTCGGGTCTCTTCAAGGGTTTTGGACGTTTCGCGTAAGATTTAAGAATTTGCAAAATGTGAGAAACAAATCATGGACTCATTTATTAGATATTAGACGATTATCACTTACCATAAACATCACAAACAGACAGCTGATGACAAATGATTACTGCCGCCTGTGGGCATTACAACACCGGTGGTTGTAGATGTGTTGCCAACCTTTAAAAAGTTGGCCACGGTTACCTCACTCAGCATATGAACCGCGAAAGTACGTTACTTCCTGTATACGCAGGTAGCAGGCTTCTGTGGTAGTTCCCCGGAAGAGCCTGCTCATTGGCGCAAGCAAAAGCCGACCACCACTCGACTTACCTGCAACATATGGTCGAAGAGCACCTTCCCGTACCCGTGACGCTGACGGTCGCGGAGCACGAAGAAGTCGAGCACGCACAGAGGCTCCACCTCGCAAACCTTGTCGTGCTCATCGAACAGGAACAAGTGCTTACGGCCCACCTTCAGCATTCCAATCACATCGCCTTTGCCACTGAGATGAAAGAATACACTTTGCCAATATAAGATTTTTTGTGGGAAGCCCGCGCATATTCAGAAATTAACTAGCGTACAGAAGCATCAAAGTAACATTCATTTTTAAATCCATAAACTGCACAGTACTTATGGGTCTACCTACATTCGACCCTTTTAACGCGTGCCAAACTTAATCCATTAACTTGCAAGCGGATTTCGCGCTTATTGCGGTGTCGTAGATGGGTTCTATTCTTACATAGGACTGGTATTTTATGCTCTGGGAGGTTATTCCCAAGGAGGGTTGAAGGAAACCTAGCCATGTTCCGACCCGAACGGATACGAACGGGAGAACGAAGAAGAGATGTGAAAGTAATGGGTACTTCGCTAGAATATTTTATATGTTAGTTATGCAATTTAAAATTAAAAGAGAATGAATAAACTCGCGCTGCTCACAGTTTGCATAATCTAAAGAGCATTGTCTGCTTAATAAGGTCATTAAGTCGTATGCAACTTGGGCATTAGATCTCATCGTTCAACGACCTTCATAGCACTTCCATAAAACATATTTCGTATGCCTAATTACTGACACTTTAAGCGCCAGTTTTAAGCGCCTTACTCGTATGGTAGTAATTATGCGTGGTAATCACATAGAAATGATTTTAGACTTGATAAAGCTGATATTACTAAATATAATACTTTTTAATTAAGCTTCAAATAATTTATGCATTCCATACACATTTTCTTTGAAACCGGTACAATGTTTACTACAAGCTTTTAAAGAACTTTAATATATTAATTAAAAACTTTAAAACCAGTATACACGTGTTAGGTATACCCATTTTTTTCCCATTCAAGAGATTAAAAATGATACCATATTTTTAAATAAAACTGATCTGAATTATTATCCAATACGGTTTCTTTTTCTCATGTTAATGTATTTGCTTTGCGGCAGTTTGATTATGCTCAGTGATTTGTGTTACGAAAACTATTGTTGCGCTTCCATAGAACTGTGAATTTACGATAAACATTAAGATCTCCATTGTTATAAAAAAGGTAAGCTGTGGAAAGTGGTGCAATGTGTAATATTGTACGCGACTGAGTGTGACACATAATCCAGTCTACTGAGTTTAATAGAGCGTTGAATCATTTGAGTTGACTGTACAGTATTTAACTCACGCCCAGACTTCATTTGTTGCGTTCTCATTTCAAATAAATATTGATGAAAAAATACATTCGCAAAAGTTTAACATGCAAAATATCTCGTTGACTAAAGTAGCAAAAAAAGAAAGCGTTGCGTCGCTGAAACATGGATACGTAACTGTTTATGGACGTAATATGCATAGATGTATTGTGGACAAATCGAAAGCGAATATATGACAACATTAGTTATTAAAGTTATAAGTACAGCAATGTTATTTAAATACTTTTTGACTTTCACTACGGTTGAATTTTTAAACTTTCCATAGGAGAACTTTCGGGTGGTTTTAAAGTCATATGCTTATTACCATACATTAATTACAAAACTTTCTAAAATTAATTTAGTCAATTTCTCAACTTTATTGCTCACAATGTTTTTATAAATTTATACTATTTTATTTAGAATACTGTCTTTACTGCCTTAATTCAATTTGACCATAGCGATTATGCGTGAACAACCCAAAAATATGAAAAAAAGTATTTCGTCTATGCACACACGACAGAAATAAAACTTTTCTCTCGGCGCCAATTGAAATCCGAAATTAGGCACTGAAGTACTTTACTTTCTATTATTTTTTTTTCAATGAAAATAATTTTAAAAATGAAATCAAAAAGTTATTAAATATTTTTGAAAAAAGTATTAATATTAACTAGCATGTGTCAGGAAAACACGAAAAGATTTAACTAGTTCCTGTGTGACAACAGCAGGCCTTAAAAGAAGCCATATGTCACTATAGTTTGATGAAGCCTACATGCATGGTGAAACACCCTGCATGCACAAGGTACACCCGGGTGTACTTACATAGTCTATTAAGCTTGTTAAAACTTAACATTACCACAAGCTGTATTTGTTGAATGTTAATATTGTAAATAGACTGAAAGAGCATACATCAATTATCCAAGAGCACAAAAAGCAAAAGAAGGAAAGGCAGAGTCGATCGGAGGCAGCAATTCTCTTTTTCCTTACTGGACAATTTCTACCAACAAATAATAAATAAGACAATAAACAAAAAAAAAATGTACCATTGTATGAAACCTTACAAGGCGTATATAATATAAACTATAATATAAATATATAATAATAGTAATCTATATACTGCTAGTATCTTATTTGTCTATGTCTAAAACACTAACATATTCCTTGCAATGCAGGGATGGCCTACTAGTCTAATGAGTTTTATTATTAAATTTCAGGTTTCTATCCTGGTGATTTGTCAATATGAACTGCTATGTAACAAGTACTTGCCAGATGCAAAATAACTCATATATATATATATAAAGTGAAATATTAAAGAATTTAGAAAATCTTTTGCAGTATATATACTATACTTTAGAAAAAAGTGGTTCAACTCCCATGTAATTTATACAGCACAGGAGTAGATTGAAAGAAAGAAAAGTTGCCAGTGTCAGTATTCCCATTCAATTACAAATAGTGTCGACAAGGAAAGAGAGAATAGGCTATTACTGAGCTAATACATTTAACATGTAAATGTAAATTTAAATGTAATAAAATATGTTGATGTAATTTTTATGGTCTACTCTACTAAAAAAAGTGAAAGCTTGTATATATGGACAGCCATTTGACGTCAAATTTAAAATATAACATGAGTACATTTAAATATCTATTAAAAATTAATAATTTCGCATTGCGCTACAAAAGTAGAAAGTTTACAAAAGTAGAAATTTGAATATTTTTCCATAATAAATAGATGACATAAAATCACTACAATATTTTAAAGCAAGTTATAAAAACATTTACTTTTTAAACACGCTTTATATTTTGATATATATATTAAAACACTTACCCCTTGGCTTTGGCATCTTTCAAGAGATATAAGATATGAGTGGGTGAATTGCGCAGCTTTTCAGCTGTTGTGATTACTTTGTTAAGACCTTGTGCAGTAGCTGATTGTTCTCCAAGAGCATCTACTAGCTGCCCAAGGGTGATTTGCATCAATCTGTCAAAGAAAAGCAGTATATATTTAATAGTATGTAAGAAAGAATAACTAACAGTTGAAATTTTGGCTATAAAATTTGGATAAAAGTTATATTTTTTAAACACTTTAAAAAATTGCATTGTAATATATGGAAAGAACATTATTAAAGAAATTTCATGTACGAGGAATAACAAATATGCATTTGACTAAATATCTTTAATATTTTAACATACAGAAAAGTTAGAATTCAATTAATTTTTAACGTCTATTCTAGAAAATACTTTTCTTCACTTTTGAATTTCTTTATTATTAACATTAATTATGTTAATAATAAATAAATTCAATACTATAAATACACATATTAATAACATTTAGGAAGCGAATAAAACTGATAACAATCATTCCTGTGCTCCATACGCAAGTGTATCTATTAAAACATTTTCATTATCATAGAATATTTAAAAAATAAATCGGCCATTCACGTTGCATTAAATAATTTAATCGACATAACATTGAAAAATGCTTAAAGGTGGTATTACCTTATGTGAGCCTAGTGAAGTACTCATGATATACGCATAAACCTTGAGTAGTGCGTCATAAATCACTGCAGTAATTGTAAAGTAATTATTTTTTGTTATATTACCAGTCTTAAATTATGATAATGTAATCTACACATACCTTACACTTCGCACATCTCCACGAAAACCGGGAGGAATAAAGGTATAGTTTAACTTAGTAATATTTTCAGCTAACATATCGTTTACAGCTACCCACTCCATTTTTATTAATTAAATAAGAATAACAATATTGTAAAGAACTATTGCAAATTTAATTACAGTACAGTAATTTTTCTCCCTAAGTCAGCAAGATTTATTATAATCCTTTGAATATTTAATACAAATGAATAACAACTTGCGAAGCTTATGTAGTGCTGGTAATGGATTAACGAATAACGATGGCGTTTTGCGCAGTTAGTGTTGCCAGCTGTACAGCGCTTAGTCATAGTCAGGGCTGGATTTAGGTAAATCAAGAAAAGATAGTGTAATTTTTTTAAAGTATAGTTTTTGTAAAAAATTATTAAAATTAACCAATATTTTTAGTACCTCATAGCTTTTCGCCGGCGGCTCCGCCCGTGGTGTAGCTCTTAAATATATATCTTTTTTTATAAAAAGAATCCTATCTACTTCTAAGAATATGTGTAAAACGTTTTATAATAACTGATTGAGTTGTTTTGACGTGAAAGCGTAACAAAAAAACATTAACATTCATAATATTAGTAGGGATTGGGGGACGATGTTTCTCTTTTTGTTCTTAATCGCCTCTGCGCAGGCCACAGAGGACCTGACGACCACAGTTAAGTGAAAGTGTCACTAACTGAAGGCAATATGAGTTCTGACGCGATTCGAGATGCACGCGGTGTCTCACACGTGTTCTGATCATAAATCCTTATTGTAATGCCATATTTATGAGTGCAAAAATTATAATCGAAAAATAATGCGTCAAAAGGAAGTGTTTCGCATCAAAAGCAAGGGCTATTTCATATAGTAAGGTAACAACGAAACTTTTACTCTCGGCAGCGGCTTCTGTGGTATTTCCCAAAGAAACAGAAATAAGCCTTAGTCTTTACTGACCATGAGGCAACGAACGAACCACATTGTACGAACCGCGCCTAAAATAACCTGCTAAACTAAAAACTTCACGGACTTGCTTTACGTTACTTTCTATCCTGTAAAACGCTTGGCTTTACTTGATTATTGCTAATGGTTCTCCCTAAATATTCGATTTTAGATGAGTCTGAGTCTTTGCTTAGCGAAATAGTACTCTGTTTTGTAGTCCGACTTTTTACAAAAAGAGCAAGGAGCAAAATTTAGGTGAGAGGAAGTGATGTTAACACTTGATGTCTTCGGTGTATCACTTCTATTCGGCGAATTATCTGACTTAGCACACTTCGGTAAGCCTGTTTATTTATGGCCTAAGGCTTCACATGAAAAGCACCCCGATTTGCCAGAAGTAAGTTCTCTTTTTCGTGTATACTACGTGGGACTGAGCGTTGTGAAGGAGACTCGATACTAATCGATAATTCACTTTTTTTGAGGAGGTTTTACATATATCGAGAAGAAATTGACAAAATTATTTGGCAATAATTGTGCATTGGTGGCAGCAACACGAATGGGTCAACAATACCACGGATTATGATAGTCGAAATTAATCTGTCTCTGAGCCCACTTACAATAGAGACGTTGAAAAAATCGCCTAGCATACTCCGCATAGTGATCCGAGTTAGTTTTAATTACATCGAAAAGAATATTTGTGACGTCTACTTTACGTGAACACAACGAATTAAAGTCTCGTTTGAAACTTGTCCAACAACGATCGTTCGTGACCTACTCGTTCAACCACTCACCTTTAACGCTATTATCAATACGTGCACTCCCTATCATCCCAACAATGAATGATACGTACATGGTAAACTTCATCACACCACACATTGATGTAATTAATAGCGATATATAAATGTGGTTGGATCTTAAAGCGACTTCAACAGTCGAGCCGCTGCATTCGACTCGCTATCCGACAACCTGGATAACCAGGCGCTTCGGCGCTGATAAAGCGCAGCAAATTATTAATTGAATCGTTTGGAATAGGGCATTTATTTTAATACACTTACACTTAAAATAGTTTTTTTTTAGTTTTTATAAGTTTAATGGTGAAATGGTTTAGCAGTAAATCAATGGTTTACATTAAAAAGAAATTCGACTAAATGACTTATGATATTACGTAGGTAGCCGCAAAATGTCGATACCTCCACGGCTACCCCTGTGGCAGCGCGTGACGAAAACAGAATTTTGAACGATATGTTAGTTGATATACTAAATGCAGTCTTTCACGGTGGAAAGTGAACCCAAATATTTTGAACTTATGGAGTAGTACGTCAGTATTTATCAGCCCCCCCCATCAAGTGTTCCCAGTGAACGCCTTTTTAGTGGTCCTGTGTTGGTTCACGATGAGATACGAAACTGTTTATCAGGAGAAACAGCATATAAATTATTATTTATTAAATTCAATTAGCTCGTAGAACCGATAACCGATGGGGAAGAAAGGTTCTCGAGTGGCAGCCTCGTACTGGCCATCGCAGTGTAGGATGACCCCCCACTAGATGGAGTGACGACCAGTGCAAACTAAGTAAATGTAGTTATAAGGAAGAGGATGAGGATGATGATGAGGATCTGCTATGAGGAAGAGGAAAAGGAAGAAGAAGAGGAGGAGAAATAAGTAACAACATACCTAATCTAAGGGCAAAATATATATTATAAAGCTTTTACAATTAAAACAAAACCTACGTATTATTTTAATAGTACCTGGAGGACCAAGCTTTGCTCGGTTTTTTTTTGGTAAATTATGTATTTTGGAAATTAAAAAAATAAACAATAAAGAAAATGATCTGGTATAGAAAAAAAAGTAAAAAAAATAAGTGTGTAAATGATCGGGCCGTCTGTTTTGGGGTCGCCCGATTACCGACCGAGCTATTATAACATTTTATTTTTCGGCGAAATTTACTGTCATATTCGAATGATATTTTTCATCCCCTGAAAACAGGGATAAAAGGACAGTTTCTAAAAATGAAACCTAGCTAGATCGATTTTTCGCCCCCGAATCTACGCACATACTAAATTTCATGAAAATCGCTGGAGCCGATTCCGAGATTCCGATTATATATATATATATATATATACAAGAATTGCTCGTTTAAAGGATAAGAGATACAACACAACGCACAAAGAACAAATTACTTTTAAAGGAAAAGTTTTTATTTATCACCTTGTGTTAAAATTAGTGCTGAAGATAATCAAATTTATACTGAAAATTAATTGTTGTTTCTGGTTAATTGAATTTCATCATCATCATCATCATCATTTCAGCCTGTTTGAGTATACTGCTGAACATAGGCCTCCCCCATAGACTGCCACAAAGTAGGATCCTGAGCCACCTGCATCCATCGACCTCCCGCACATTTGCTCATGTCGTCACTCGATTAGTGGTGGGTCATCCTACACTGCGATGGCTAATACGAGGCTGCCACTTGAGAACCTTTCTTCCCCAACGGTTATCAGTAGGATAACAACACAACGAGGTAATTGAATTTAATAAATAATAATTTAGATGCTGTTAGCTAGCTGTTAGTTCTCCTTATAAATAGTTTTGTAGCTCTTCGTAAACCAACCCAGGACCACTAAAAATGCGTTCACTGGTAACACTTGATGAAGGGGCTGATAAATACTGACGTACTACTCCATAAAGTTCAAAATATTTTGGGTTCACTTTCCACCGTGATTGCTTCGGCGCAATATGCGCGAGAACCGAACTCGCGTACCTCAATAAAAAAGGACCAAGCTAATACTTGGTCCCTTTTTATCGTCCCGCTGTCTGTCTGTCCCTATGTATGCCTGGATCTTTAAAACTACGCAACGGATTTGATGCGGTTTATTTTACTAGATAGAGTGATTATAGAGGATGGTTTATATGTATAATACATGGCACCCGTGCGAAGCCGGGGCGGGACGCTAGTTATGAATAAAGAAAAAACTCGGCAATTACATACAACACCGTTTATTATGAGCTAAATAGACTATTACAGTAAGGAAATGTTACAAGATAACCAAGGTTCGAAACGTTACACGCTAAACGAATCAAGTCCTTAACACTCTTGCCCAAATATATGTTTTTCTACCAATTTTGGTAATAATGTTTACAAAATACAGTCTTAGATCAATTTTGCCAGACTTCTCGTACAAATATTAATGTTTGTCATAAATTTGGTGTTTTAAATAAAATAAATTTCTAATTTCATACAGAAACAAAAAAATAGAAGTGAAAAATTAAATAATTATTACACAATAATAAAATTTTCATTAATGACAATTTATATATAAAAAAAATTAAGTCACCGTTCATAACGGGGACTCGTCTTTGGTCCCGATCACGGGTAATTTTTAATTTAAAATAAATAAAACGACACTATCCCCTGACAATCGATTACAGCCTCACCCTCGTCTTCGTTTCGACTTCTTGGTTATTTGGTACCTTATAGAGGCCTTTGAAAATATCTAACAACCAAGGTATCTAAAAACATATTCTAATTTAAATTTGGTAAAAAAACAATTCAAATTATTTCGTTATGTGTATATAAAAATAAAGAATGTACAGAGCAAAAGTCATAAACGTGATAAAAGAAAGCTGATTTTTGTGTTTAAAGAGAAAGTTACATAAGTACCTAATTTAATTAAACAATAAAACGAAATATAAGGATAAAACTAAGCAAAATATTAATTAGGCCTTTTCATGAAGGGGGGAGAAATATATAATTATTTGGATTCTCCGATCTACTATAACCAAATAATGGGTATTTGTATCAATAACTCTAATTATTAATTCGATGGATTATATTTTAATAAGTCAATGATATCCGATTTTCATCGGGTATTGTTAAACTTATAGTATAATTTATTGGTGTATATTAAAAATGTTATGTATAATATACTACGTTAAGCCTCTTGCTGAGCATCATTGTTCATTATTTTGACCTAATTAGATCATTTTAGGTTTAATTGCAATCGGCCGATGACGTGTCATTATAATTCATCATTGAAAGTGATCAGATGAAACGTGCAAATTTCCCATTATTTTGTGTTATAGTAAGTCGAAGGTTTTGATTTAAACACTGATAATTGAATGTAATAAGAATGTTTTCATTTAAATATCTTACGATGGTTACTTGATA